TCGAAGATCCCCGCAGGCCCGAACTTCAGTGACCCTCCCCATACTGCTCCCTAGTTTTTCCTCACGATCACAGCAGATCCGGTGTTATTGCTGCCGAAATATACTTTGATCCTTTTGCTCTTGATATCCAAAACTCTTGTCGAAGACTTCTAGGGGACGTGTGGCGGTGCGTTGTCCAAGATGTTGAAGATCTGGTCTATGGTACAATCCCTCTCTTGCCCGCGCGGTCCTGCGTCCACTCCTGTATGACTGACGTTGGTATTCCTTGCAGAAACAACAGCAACAGCAGGCTGAAAATGCCGAAGGAGCAGCAGGGAAGAAAAAGAAGAAGGTTACGGCCGCGCAGTTGCGCGTGCAGAGAGGTAGGCACCGTCGCTCGCCTGACGCTGGAGAGTGGCGCAACGACGCACGACAGAGGAAGCGAGGCTCGGCTGACGGGTAGCATGGACTAGATCTGCAGGAGTTGACCCTCGGAAGCACGATGAAGATGAACTTCCCTAACCCTGACGATATCCTCAACTTTACGCTTACGATCGAGCCCGACGAGGGCATGTACAAGGGTGGCGCGTTCCATTTCAACTTCACCGTTAACCAGAACTTCCCGCATGACCCGCCCAAGGTGAAGTGCACGCAGAAGATCTACCATCCGAATATCGATCTGGAGGGGAATGTCTGTCTGAATATTCTGCGGGAGGACTGGAAGCCTGTTCTGAACTTGAATGCGGTTATTGTGGGCATGCAGGTGGGTTTGCGGCAGGCTCGGTTTTCCTTGTGTGCAGTTCGTCGAGCTGACCTTTGTATTTGCTGCATAGTTCCTCTTCCTGGAGCCGAATGCCTCCGATCCTCTGAACAAGGAAGCTGCGGAAGATCTGCGGACGAACCGGGATGGCTTCAAGCGCAACGTTCGTACCGCGATGGCCGGTGGATCGGTCAAAGGCGTGCAGTACGAGCGTGTGATGCGATGAGTTGGAGTAGGCGGTTAGGTTCTGATTGCAAGGTGTTCCGGTTCAGTGGCGTCCATAATAACGACACGAGCCCAGCTTCAACGAACATCATACACGCGGCGTATATGATATGGTCAAGACCGACGAGATGCCCTCATCGATGGATATGGATATGGAGATGGGCGGCCCGCGGTGCAGGCTCATACGGATTCACGTACATAACTTGACTACTTTAGCGACTGGATAGATTTCGTCATGAAAGCAATGAACCCTTATACGATTCACGGGAACAGGGATACGCATCTTTTTCACGGATGTCTTTAAAGCATTTTGTTACATTGAATCAATTCCTTGTCGTCATTTAGGAGCGCATGGTAGTGCTTGTCCAGTCGAACCTCAATCTTGCGTCTTCGATACTATGGACAAGATTGGCGGAAGTGTCTGGCAGCTCTACGGACTGAGAGGGGCTTTCAAAAGGATACAGAGGCAGGACAAAGGAAACGGCATGTCTGGAGCTACAACAACCGTATATATACAACCAACAGGTATGACTGAGCAATTGCGAAGTAATTGAACAAATTTCTTTGTTTTCCTTTCGAGAGCCCGGCACATCGACTCGTTCAACACATCAACCAGACAAAGTGACGTAGACACCACTACCACCAAACCCCGTCGAGCACCTAGCCACTGGATATGAACACTCCTGAGCTAATATGCCTCCATGCGAATGTTAGTCGTCACGAAGTGACAAACGGCCACGGGAAACTTAAAACGGAGCGGATGCGAATGATGTCGTTCTCTATGCTGACTTCATCTGAAAGATGCATCGAAATCACGGATTATCGAGTCTATGCCTGCTGAGCAGCACGCTCCTTCTCGAGACGGGTGTAGTAGGCGTCACGGGCGCGAACGCGGGGCAGGTGGTAGCCTGCTCAATTGTAAGAAAGATATGTCCACAAAAAGAGCCTGGAGGGGTTTCCCCCTGCTTGGGAAAGATGCGATGATACGTACCGTACCACCAGAGGTAACCGAAGGTGGTGCCGAAACCTGTACGCGAATGGGTATACGGTTAGTCTTTCGGCGCTAGATGTAGTGACTCAGAAATATTGTGAAAGAAAGGCATGTCTGCCACGTAAGATGGATATGGAGATTATCCTAGGAGTCTCGGAAGCCGGTGGGACAATTCATGCTCTTCCTTGTAATTCCGATTCATTGTGCTGCTGAGCGATATGAGATTGAGACTCACCGAAAGCGGTGCTCAGGTCGAGAACGAGACCACGGCGGAGCATCTATAATCTAGCGTGTTAGCCAATACATGTTTGACCAGGTCGCTACCGAGTGATCAAAGGTAGAGGCTCGGATGTAGCGTGGGTGGGATGTAGACGTACGCCGGTGATGGGAGGAATAGCGGTGGCCATTGCGACGGATTGATGAGAGTAGTCGATTCAGGAAGAGAGGTAGATGCGATTTCAGCAAACAGGGAACCTGTTATGAGGTGGTGGGGGACAGGCGGAGGGAAAAGGAAGGAGAAGCGATCGATGATGTGAACTTGAAAGTCGAGGTGAAGCTTTCCGATCCGGCACGTAAGCGACCGATGTGAGTGGCCTGACTGGGTGCTGAGAACGGGCAGAAGGATAGCACAGGGATTCCGGCCAGACGCTCACTATTGACTCAATTATGCTTCAGAGTAAGTAAGATAGACTACATGTATATTCTGGATGTAGAATATATATCCATCTCCTTTCTTATTTGCTCCATCTTCGTTGATCACTCTGTGATTAGTGTTAATGCTTCAGGCGCAAACACGTGACCTGACGCGAAGCTCTTGCGATGTCCGAATAATAGAGACTTTCGTCACTTCTCCGTTGTGCCTATCATCATCCACCAACACCGCCATGGTGTCCTCAGAAAACTCCCTCAAGCGTTCTTCATCTACACCTTCAGAGCAGCAGGGGTCTGATACGAAGCGATTGAAGCGTCCATATCACCACCATCACCGGTTACTAAAGCCCGTTGTCCCAGCTCTTCCGGAGCCCGCGATCACTGATGACACCCACGTTGATCACTTGATGAACCGCTCTATCGGGCTATGTCTCAGAGAGTCCGGATTTGATCTCGCCGACCCGGTCGCGTTGGAAAGTTTTCGCTATGCTGCAGAGGAGTGTATGTTACCTCTTACAGAATGACTTGAATAGAGATACACAGGGGAATGTGTCGGCGGTGTTATTGACTAGGCTGCTTTGCTAGACCTTTTAAAGCTCGCATCCTTTGTGCGCCAATCGATGCTCTCGAGCCGACGCAATCAACCTATTCCCCAAGATTTCGAACTCGCGTTCAAAAGACACCACTTGCGCGTGGACGATCTGCTTCCACACTTGAAACCTTTGCCAAATGTCGAACCGGTTCCTACACTCCTGCCTAGTCCTCCACCAGAAGAGGATACTTGGATGAGTTTACCATTCCTCGGCCCTGAACTGAGCGGCGAAAGTGACCGTGTTCGAAGCGCGTATATCCCAAAGCATTTCCCGCAATTTCCCAGTAAACATACATACCGGCACACACCTGTGTTCACACAGCGGGAGCAAGACCCACGAAAAATTCGTGAGCGCGCGACTGAAGACGGGAGACATGGCGAGGAGGCATTGCGCAAACTGGCACGGGCATCATTCAAGGATAATCAACTCGGCTCGGCGGGTCGCGAAAAGCGATTGTGGGGTCGGAGGATGGAGAGCTTGGACAGCATGTTTGAGAAAACAGTCAAAGGCATCGCAAAGAAAATGCACAAAGATGTAACTGTGCCGGGCACAGCTGCAACGATGGACATTGATTTTGGAGCGGTTGCGGATATGGAGCTCAAGGCGACTCGACCGAAGGTCTCAATGAGTCTGGAGCTTCCACCAGTCATCAATTGTGAAAGGGATCTCTGGCGCCGAATGACGACACCCAGCAATCGGAAAGTGGAAGAGAAACCTGCTGGAACGAAGGATCCCACAAGTGTTTCGCGAGTGGAAAGCTGGGTGAGCACATAGTTCATTTCGCATTGCGGCGGGCGGCGTCAGGGCGTTATGATTTAGTATTGAGCGAACCAAGAAGATACCCAATGAGTACAATGCAGACAAATTATGCGATTCAGTTGATAACAACGGCAATGATAGACTCCTGGTATCCGATGCCTGTAGACTTCCAAGCCCAACTCCGCCCAAATGCAAGTACTTCTTTCGTATCAGACCTTGATGACCTCTTCTGCTGCACGTTTTCGTTTCGCCTCTTCTTCGGCTAGTCTGATGGGCTCCCACGCAGTCGTTTCGACTGTTAATCCGCCAGCACACCTTTGGAAGGGGAAAGTCAACCAGTGAAGCCAGCAAGTATGCAGGAGGAGCTTACCGTCTGAATAACCGGACAATCGGCTTGCACGTCACGACGCCTGGCTTGGGGATGCCGTCCTGAGGTGGATTACACGAGTACTGCACCATCTCCAGTAACTTGCAACTCTCCAGGTTGACTAGTCCACCCTTGCGACGTCTTTCCTGGAAGTTTCGACTGACGGTATTGACATGCTCGGGGAGGGATTCGGCGGAGAAGACAGGAACGAGGGGTGCCATTGGAGATCTCGTAGTTTGTATGGCTTTCTGTTTCAGTCGAGTAGTTAAAATAGCTAAATTATGGTAGTGATAAATGGTTTGTTCTGCTTCAATCAGACGGTGTAGGAAGAAAAGTTGATGGAAGCGGAAACCTCCGTCTTATGGCGATGCGATTGATGAGTCGGGACCGATGCGGATGTCGACTGGATGCCGGGACAACAAATTCCCAGCCCATGATCAACACTATGGTCCTCTGTAGGAATTTAACAACAATCGATAACAAAATATGATGTCAAAATATCCATGACATTCATTCAGCTCGCCTCAGTAAGGAATGGCGGCCAGCTTCGGGGAGAAATTGCTGAGGGAAGTACACACGGAACGGCTGGATGAGGTACGTTTTCTAAAATTATAACTTGATTATATCGTCATGCTTGCTGCGTATCACGCTTCGACTTGACTTTGAGGGGAATCCATGCTGATTTCACAGCTTCTACATGACTTGAGATGTCTATTTCCCAGGAGCCTTGGGGAGAGCACCTCACAGTTGGGCGTCAAAGGGTTGGATGCCCTCTTGGAGGTCTTCATGCCTTCCCTCTTTGCTGCTCAGGCTCAGACTCAACATGTGGAACGAGATACGTATCGAGAGCAGCAGAGTGAACATGAGGTACAGCACATGCAGGCGGATGTCGAGGATAACCAGAATGCTTCACCCGGAGATCGCGGGCTTCCTACGGCATCTCACACAAAGCGAATCGATCCGGTTATAGAGATCTCCAGCGCATCTTCAGCAGCCGGCAAGTCTCACTTGCTGTATTATCTCACTGCAATTGCCATCCTGCCATCGACGATCAGCGGGATCCGAGTTGATGGTCGGGCCTCGGCCGTCGTCTTTATTGATGCAGATGGCCGCTTTGACGCTGAACGACTTCGAACTGTTGCCTGTGGGCTCATAGACAGAAAGCTCAAGGCGCATTCTGGTACAGGGTCCAGAGAGACACCGGAGGGACAGATACATCCGCCACTACTTACTACTGAAGAGTTGGAATCCATTATCGTGGCCTCCCTACAACACGTCCATGTGTTTCGTCCACAGTCATCGTCTTCTTTACTCTCAACGTTGAAAAGTCTGCAGGCATACCTGCTCGACATTTCGCGTCATTACTCCTCTCACAGGCCACTGCACGCTATTCTCATCGACAGTGCCACTGCCTTCTTGTGGCAAGATAAACTACGGGACGATGTCGCCCGCACAGAGAACATTGGACGCCCTGTCGCCGAGATCGAGCACGAGCGAAATCAGAAGCGGATATTCTTTCTGTCCGATATCTATGCGGAACTAGTACTGACGTTGAAGAACCTACAGCGACATTTCGGCTGTATAGTCGCCTACACTTGTAACACATTGAACAGCAGATCGGTAACTGGCTATCAGAGCCACAGCCAGTCAACGCAACAACCCTCTGGCCCTTTCGACCTGTACAACCCTTCAAATCTAACGGCGACCAGTATGCCCTCTTTTCGTTGCCCACTGCCTGCCCCATGGGGCACTTTCGCGACGCTACGGCTTGTGGTTCGGCGAGACGCGGTGCGTCCTTTTCCGCCGATGATGACTGTCCGGGATGCTCAGCGGGATGCAATCATGCGACAGAATGTGGTTTTGGAAGGTAGATTCTTGGGCTGGGTGAATGAATGGGAACGCGAGGAATGGCCTCGGAGAATTGTGGACGGATTGAAAGAGAGAAATGGGGGCGTGTTCTCGTTTCATGTAGGCAGGGGCGGCGTTGCATTCGCCTGATACATGGCTCCTTGTGTTTGATATGAGTCTTATGTAGATATGAGTCTTATGTACGATAATGATGTATGTACATTATGTGCAAACTATATACCCTTGAATGGACGACTCCAGCATCAGCCGAATAACTTCCCAATTGCCTCAACGGTAGTGTTGCCCCCGCTGAACACAATACCCATGTCCCATCCCTCCGGACCAGCCTCCTTCTCAACAAGTCGCCTAAACTCCTCATTGAACAAGCAAACTGCGAGCCCCACGACCGCACTAGGCTCAACGACCACCTTCATGCGTTCCAAGACAAGCCGCATCGCAGCCTTGATCTGGTCCTCCGTCACGGCAAACACACCGGCAACCTTACTCCGGTCCGAGATGACCTCCCAGTTCAAGATCCCCACCGGCGTGCGCAGCCCATCGGCAATAGTAAGCGTCTTGACGGACTCCACGCGCTGACCAGACTCCAGTCCCCGGCGACAATCGTCCGCGCCTTCGAAGCTAGGCTCCGCGCCAAAGACACGCGTAGGTTTACCGGAGAAGAACGTCGCAACACCGGCGTTTAGCCCCCCGCCCCCGACGGGGGTAATCACCGCATCGAGGTGTCTCGATCCGTCCTCGGCCCCGCTGGCATGGACACTCAGATGCGGCTTATCGGAGACAAGCGCGCGGTATTGGTCTTCCATCTCCAAGGCGGTCGTGCCCTGGCCGCAGATGATATCGAAGTGATCATACGGCGGGACGAGGATCGCATCTGTCTTGGCCTGGATCTCCGCGACGACGGCTTCGCGCTCGGTGCTCGTCGAGCCGCTGAATATGACCTCTGCGCCGTGCGAGCGTGTCCCTGCTATCTTCGACGGGGTGCTGATGCTGGGCATGACGATGTAGGCGGGGACGTGGAGGGTGGAGGCTGCCAGGGCGAGGGCTTGAGCATGGTTTCCTATTCCGTTGTCAGTATGATTCTTCACCTCCAGAGTGTGACTTGGAAAAGTGCGTACCCGAGCTGTGCGTAATCACACCGCGTCTCTTGACCTCCTCCTCACCCCGCTCTGCGATGAGTCGCAGCAAAGCGTGAAACGCACCGCGGGCCTTGAAGGCGCCGATCCGCTGGTAGTTCTCGCATTTGAAGAAGAATCGGAACTTGGGTTTCGCAGGTGTTTGCCCTTCGAAGGACGTTCCGACCAATGACTCGGCTGATTGAGGGGTCGAGGCGATGGTGTTGAGCGTTTGACAGGTGAGGAGAGGGGTGTGGTGGATGTACGGCTGGATCAAGGCGTAGGCGGAGCGCACGGCATCGGGAGTCAATGATCGCGCTGTAATGGAAGGTTCGGCCATGTTGAATTTGAGATTCTGGATGTCTCAATTTCGACAACGAAAGAAGAATAACTTGAATGCTCGAGAAGTAGGAAAGATAGATACGAAAGGTGGAGCTCTTCATCGGAAACAAGGCCGAGTCGAGCCATCGGCTACCGAAATGGCGAAATGTGCGCGTCTACAGTCATTGCGATACTTCATATGAAAAATAAATGAAATGTGGTATTCTCAGTTCCCAATTAATAACTCGATGAACACATGTAAGAAAAACGAAATCAAGTCATAGTACAGTCGTAACTTTTCCCAAGCCTTCCCATTGATGCAAAATTAAAATTACTTCTGGTTCTCAGGGCGGAGGGAACTGCAAGACGATTAGCATATGGTCATCGACAGATTGTGCGATTGAAGTGACTTACCGAACGGCCTTTCCAGCGCGCCAGATCTCGAGATCACGGATGTCCTGCATCTCCTTCTCGTACTTCTCGCGGTAGTCCTTCTGGGAGTTGTATTCGAGCGAGCGCTTGGTCTCAGTGCCGTCACGCACACTGTCATAGAGATCATTGAAGAGAGGCTTCAGGGTGTCCTTGAAGCGGCTGGACCAGTCGATAGCACCACGACGAGCAGTGGTGGAGCAAGCGGCGTACATCCAGTCCATACCGTTGGCACCGATCAAAGGGTAGAGAGACTGAGTGGCCTCTTCAACGGTCTCGTTGAAGGCCTCAGAGGGGCTGTGGCCGCGCTCACGCAGAACCTCGTACTGAGCGAGGAACATACCGTGGATACCACCCATCAGGCAACCACGCTCACCGTACAGATCGGAGTAGACCTCCTTCTCAAAGGTGGTCTCGTAGAGGTAACCGGAACCAACAGCAACACCCATGGCAATGGCCTTCTCCTTGGCCTTGCCAGTGACGTCCTGGTAGACGGCAATGGAGGAGTTGATACCACGGCCCTCACGGAAGAGAGTGCGGACGGTACGGCCGGAACCCTTGGGAGCGACAAGGATGACATCAACATCCTTGGGGACGTCGACCTTGGTGAGCTCCTTGAAGACGGGAGAGAAACCGTGGGAGAAGTAGAGGGTCTTGCCCTTGGTGATCAGGGGCTTGAGAGTGGGCCAGGTCTCGCTCTGGGCAGCGTCGGAAAGCAGGTTCATGACAATGGTACCCTTCTGCACGGCCTCGGTGACGTCGAACAGGTTCTTGCCGGGAACCCAGCCATCCTGGACGGCCTCCTTCCACGAGGCACCATCCTTACGGACACCAACAATGACATTGAGGCCCTGGTCACGGAGGTTGAGACCCTGGCCGTGACCCTGGGAACCGTAACCGATCAGAGCGAGAGTGTCATTCTTGAAGTACTCCTGGAGCTTCTCACGGGGCCAATCCGCACGCTCGTAGACGGTCTCCTTGGAATCAGCGAAGGTCATGGTCTTGACACCACGGACGGGGGCGGTCGAGGCAGCCACACGGGTAGCAGCCTTAGCGAGGGCAGGCCGGGGGAGGGCGGCCGAGATGACTGTGCGAGGGGCGGCGACACGGGCCAGACGGAGGGCACGGGGAAGTCCACGGGAAGCCATTGTGATGCGTAGGATGTGAGATTAGAGGAAAAGGCTGTAGAGGAAGGAAGAGGAGGGGAGATTGGTCAAAGATTTGATGTTTGAAAGAGAATAATAATGAGAGAAGGAAAGTTTCTTGGGGGGGGGAGGACGGACGTTGAGAGACTTATAAGCTCGTTGTTAAGGACGACTGGAGCAGGTGTGGGAGGCACGTGAACGGAGTTGATGCTGAGCTCCCCGGCCGATGTCGGATATTATGCTGTATGATTGGCGCGACGGGGACACCGCCAACCCCATACAGAGAGCATCAGTGTATGACCTGTCTAGTGCTCTCGACTCTCGTTAGTCCCCAGAGGGAAATCTGTGCTCCGTTCCACGGGAGCATCCACCGAGAATATGGAGAAAATTTCAAGGTTGAGTCACAGAGTCATAGGCCCGATTTAGAAAAAGTCGGGCCATTTTGAGATAATAGGAATCGTTATTGTGATTCATACTAACCTGTTGATTATCACTCATCCTCTCCATCAGGACAATCACGTTCTTTTATGTTAATCTAGTTACATAGTGGTAGTTGCTGGATGTATTTCGTACTTTGTAGGGACTTTGGTCTCGGAGATGCCTGGTTGCCTGAGGTATCATTCTCGCATCCCCGCCGGCATCAACAACAATCTGGCTCCAAGTGGACTATTGGTGATTGTCAACTCTCGACTCCTATTGACATCCCGCATTGAGGGGCCCCAAGCAACCATCGTGTCTTATCCTGTAGCAGGCGGCTCATGTTGTCCTATCGGGATATCTTCTAAGAACATCACTTACGCTCCTCTTACCATGTGCATACAATGAGCCTCATCTCCTCATTCGGCGCTCTGCCCACCATCCAGACCCGAAAAGCCCTTTTGCTCCTCGATTTCCAAAATGATTTCATTCGTCCATCCGGTGCACTGCATGTTCCTAATACAGTTGATATCTTGGAAAATATCGCGCAACTAGTCACTGCTTTCCGTCGCGCTGGCGATGTTATCTGGGTCCGCTCCCACTATGAATCGCGTCGACCCCTCATCGATTCGGACTTCCAGGACCGTATAGTACTAGGTCGCGCGACGGATGAGCGAAGGAAAAGGTCCGACCGATTGGATTCGGAAACACCGGTCGATGAGGAAGCGTTTCTATCGAGCGAGTCTTCGCAATGTTGCCGGCCGCAGACGAACGGCGTTCAGTTCCCCGCCCCCATTTTGGCTGCTATCGATGCGGAAAACGACACATTGATGGACAAGTCGGATTACTCCGCTCTACAAGATGACGGAATGATACTCTCTCTTCGCACAAGATTTATTACGGAGCTATACCTATGCGGTTCACTCTCTAATGTCTCGGTGTATGCCACCGCCCTCGACGCTGTTCGCCACGGCTTCTCTGTAACCCTCATCGAGGATTGCCTCGGGTTCCGCGATTTCATACGCCATGAGGAAGCGATGCGCCGCATGGCCGATATATTTGGCGCCAGTGGAATTACAACGCAGGAGCTTTTCGAGGAGCTTGATTGGCAGGAGACCGACGCTATTGCTCGTCAAAGTGCCCACAGACCCGTACGAGCTGTTACTCCAGCTGGCATCGAAGGCGTAATGGATGAACTCGACGTCAAATTAACCCGTGGGCCCACGGCCAACGAGGGAACACCGGAGTCGTTGCGCAGTCGGCGACGGAGACTCGACGCTGTTTTAGCCGAGCAAGCTGACGAGGAGGAGGACGACTTGTGGGATCTGGCGAGCCTGGCCGGCTCCCGCTCCCGCTACGGACCGTCCGGCTCACCAGGAAGCTCGTCTCAGGCTCATGGTGTGGGAGAAAAGAAGGCACGTGTGCGTGTGCGTCGCACAAAACGACAAGATCAAAAGGCAGAGGCGTCTGCTCGGACAGAAGAGCGAAGGAGCGGTAAGACCAAAAAGTCGCGAGATATACGCGGTCCGGGTGATCAGATCGGCGAGGGTGACTCCCGCATCATTTATGACTTGGATCTACCTGCGGATGCCTTTGAGAGTATCCGCAGCGAGGTCGCTTGGCAGAAGATGTACCATATGTCGGGGCAAGTTCCTCGTCTTGTCGCAGTCCAAGGACAAACACTGGATGACGGATCCGTCCCTATTTACCGCCATCCCGCGGACGAATCTCCACCGTTGCACCCTTTCACGCCGACTGTGAACCAGATCCGCGTCATTGTAGAACGCATCCTCGGTCACCCGCTCAACCACGTTCTCATTCAGCTCTACCGCGATGGACAGGACAACATATCTGAGCATTCAGACAAGACGCTTGATATTGTCCGAGGTTCATTTATCTGCAATGTGAGTCTTGGTGCTCAGCGAGTGATGACACTCCGAAACAAAGTCAAAGCTGCAGACGACGACCAAAGACCCACGCAACGTATACCAATGCCACATGAGTCGCTCTTTATCCTGGGGGAGAAGACGAACATGCGCTGGCTGCATGGCGTACGGGCCGACAAGCGACAGGACGCGGAGAAATCTGCAGAAGAGCTGGCTTATGGAGGCGAACGTATATCCCTCACCTTCCGACACATTGGCACTTTCTTGGACGCAACTGGTGATGCAATCTGGGGCCAAGGAGCTGTCTCCAAAAACCAGAGTCAGGCGAATAGCGTAATCCATGGGGATCCTGTAGAGACGGAGCGGCTCATTCGCGCGTTTGGCCAGGAGAATCAGGCTACTGAGTTCGATTGGGATGCTGTGTATGGCGGAGGGTTCGATGTGGTCAACTTTGTCACCACATCGACAGCTAAGTTGGTTGAGGGCTCCGATCCTGTGTCCAATCTCCGCGTTCGGCTCGCGCTCAGTGAGAATGGTATTCGATACGATGTGACAGCTTCTTCAGGGGACGCAAACAGCGCCGAGGACAAAGCGCGGCCGGTCTTTATCGCAGCGGACGGCACTGAAGTTGCTGGGGAGTTGGATATCATGAACTATCTCGCACAACATGCGCCAGAGCTAACACGAGCGGGTGTTGAAGTATTGGGTGGTGGCAGCCAGCTTCTCGAGATCAATGATTTTTTGCAGGGCTGGCGAACGTCTCACAGCGATGGCGAACAGATTAACCCGAAATCCCTGGATCCATGGGAGAAGGCCCTAGACGGGCGGTACTATCTAGGGGGAGCAGCTCTTGGGCTCGATGACTGCTTCCTCTGGCCAGTACTCCGAGATATTGTACAGACGTGCGGACCGTTTTCGAACGACAAATATCCCAATTTGGCGCAGTACTACCGACGTGTGGAGAAGCGCGGGATTGTCAAAGTGACCCTGGAGGAACTAAAATAATCATTTCGTCTTGATTTCAAGTTAGAGATACCACACAGCGCAGCGAGCAGTTCTGACGAGCTTATGACTAGCATCTAGCGACGGCCATACTGTGGCTTTCATTTCCGGTTATACTCTGAACTTTGTTCATTTACTTATTTTGTTGCAGTTTTGCTTTTTCTTTTTTTGGATCTGTACTGCAGCACTAATATACCTTTTGAATACTTGACTGATTTGGATTCCGCATCATTTCTCATAGACATAAGGACTATCAGTACGACCACGTCATGGTCTGCAAGGCAGCAGGGGCCTCAATCACAAGCACTCGCCAGCAAAACTCGTTGTTTTCAAGACGTCCTTCAGAGCAACGCCCCTGCACACTACAGCCTTGAGGAAAGCGTTGGCAACAACTTGAGCTCCTGCAGGGCTGGTATGGGTGTGGTCATTTGGGAAATATGAGTCGACAGTCGATAGGCCCAGAGACTCAAAGATGTCGGCCACATAGGCGCCATGGTCCACATAATCCACGCCAGCTACCTGTGCAGCCAACTCGGCGTAACCGACGAAGCGCGACGGAGAATAGGAAAAGGTGCCGGTCTCCCACGGATTGTTTGGCGTTTGACTGGAGATCAGCACCTTGGCGCCCTTGGCCAGAAACAACTGCGCAGCATTCTCCAAGTACTTGGGGAAGGTGAGCACGGTTTCGGTGACACCGTTATACGTGGTAGTGCAGGTCTCGTCGCCTGTTCCCGGACAGTCTGTCCGGCCATTATCGGTGGTGGAAAGGGAGCCGCCGTCGTTGTGCCCGAACTCGATGACTACATAGTCGCCTGCCTTCAGGACGTCTGCGATGGCTTGGAAACGGCCTTCTCGGGTATAAGAGCGGGCACTGCGGCCGCCAATTGCCTGGTTCGATACTGTGGCGGAAACGGAGGAGGAGATGTACTGACCCCACCCTGTTTTGATCAGAGCGTGAGAGATGTATGTTGCAAATGGACTTCTTAGAGACTTACCGTCAGTGTTTGTGCCACTTCCGGCTCCGTTCTTGGCCATGGTCGAATCACCTGCCAGGTAGATGGTCGCACTCAAGGTGCCTGGCAGGAGGGCAAGCGATGATAGGATAGCCAAGGACTTCATTTTGAATCGAGGTTTATATCTTTGAGGACTTATTCCAAAGTAACTAATCGTACATAAAGATCTAACCGTCATGGCAGAAGCAACCAACACCCTTATATAGAGTCTCCTCCGCTGCTACACCCATACAAGCATCTACAAGCAAAAGCATACGTGGAAAAAGTCCCTGAAACAATCGGCGTATCTCTCACCGAATACCAAGACTCCTTTCCAGCCTGCATATGTGATGAAGAGTCTGACACACGTTCGGCCCAACGGAGTTTCAGGACATTGGATCGAAAACAACGGTGTCACTGGGCGCCAGATGCCTCTCCGCAACTTGGCACGGATGTGCAGAATCTTACCCCGGATTTTGACGAGATGAGGGGTTGGCTCTAATCTCTTCCTGCAGGGATGCCGGTTTATTGTGGAGGGGGACTATGCGAAATGAGGAAATTCCCCGGGACAAGGCTGAGTATGGCCTACTGTGGATTTTCCACCTGTTATTTGTGATTTGTATAGATAGTTCCAGAGGCGGATATATCCAGAGGATCAGTGGCTGCGAAATTGGTCATCTATTGGAGGATCAATGGAGATAGTTCTATCAATGTGGAATTGGGCTACTCGGATCGTATGCGTGACCCGACTCGCACTTTAGCCACGGAGTACCGGTCCGAGAATGATACAGAGTAGAGCCAGAGAGACTGACGAGTCCAGGTGGGAACATCCTTGCGAGAAATATCTAGGTAATTATAGCTTTTCAAACGTGGGAGTGCGCTTCTTCAGCCCAGATAGCAACGCGGCAGAGACATCCTTGGTCTGCAGCATTGCACTATTCCAGACAGCAGTATACCGGAGACCTGCAGTGCGTAAGCCGATGTTGCTTACCACACGTAGATGAGAGTGAGGACGAGAGCACTTACCGTCCTGCACAGAGTGATCCCTCGAGTAATTCAGGATCTCCTTCGTCCCCTGCACCGCGACCGGACTCTTTGTCGCCATCAACGCAGCCATCTCCAGCGCCCCCTGAACAGCCGCCTGCTTGCTCTCAAACACCTGATTTACGAATCCAACGCGCAGCGCTTCCTCCGCCCCAAAGATCCTCGCCGTCAGCGCCACCTCCTTCACCCACCCGAAGCTCCCCACCACCTTGGGCAACCGGCTCAACGTCCCAATATCCGCCGCAAGCCCGATATCTACCTCCTTGACGGCGAACTTGGTGCCCCGCGCGCAGACACGCACATCCGCCGCCGTGGACAGATCAACCGCCAGACCGAGCGAGAAGCCGTGCATCGCGACGACAACCGGCTTCTCGCAGCGTTCAACGGCCGTGATGCAGTCCTGGAAGGAGAGGATGTGACGGCGGAGATGGGCCGCCTTGCGCGCCGGGTCGGGCGCCTTGTCGCCGTCCTCGGACAGGAGACCCTGCGATGCGGCGGTGACGTCTAGCCCTGCGGTGAAGGCTTTCTCGCCTGCGCCGCTCAGGACGATGGCGCGGACGGAGGGGTCCTGCGAGAGACGGTCGAAGATCTGGCCCAGCTCAATCCACATTCTGCTTTCTGTTAGTTCTGTTATTCTACTAAATGGAGAATAGGTTCGAAAAGCAGATGAGCAGTAGCGACTTACGCCTCGAAGAAGGCATTCATCTTGTCGGGGCGGTTGATCTCCACGTGGGCGACATATTGGTGTTCGGCTGGAAACCGGATGATGAAGTACTTGAATGACTGGTAGTCGTTTTCTGCCATGGCGATATGATCCTGCTTAGTTCGGTTCGCAATGTCGTGAGCTTCTCTGTCCTGATGTTATATGTTATGAGTCGAAATCTGGGGTAGAAGCTCGGTGGACCTCGGTAACTTTATGACCGTCCTCAGAGGGAGCCGAGCACAGGAATCACTGATCAACAATGATGAGTTTGAAGACTTAGTAGAGCATAGCAAGACCTTTGGCAAGAGCAAAACAAAATGTATTAAATTGTAATGTTAGAAGGTAGATCGGAGATGAGTTGAAGATGCTTCTCTGCCGGTAGCTTCACGTGCCTCGGTCCGATCAGATATCATGAAACTCAACTAACTGATCTTGACGAGGTCAGCATTTTACGATTATATCACAGTTAGCATAAAACATATCTGGATAAACAATATCGAAAGGAAAGTCGGATAATAAAGCAGACTTTGAAAATAGAGGAAGGAGTGAGATGGACGCTGAAGTTTGGATCTTGCGAATGTATATTCTGCGTTACGAACCTTCACAATCCATTTCCCTCAGACAACTGGACAAGTGCATACATACTTCATGATTGCTCATTACAACCACATCCATAAAGTGATTTCTTTCAGGATGACTGCAAAATTTTATACAAGATATGAAAGTGAGCTGATAACAAAGGACCACAGCTAGCAAGCCATACGAGGCCTGCTCAGCCTTCCCACAAAGAGTGCGGATTTCAATCTTCAGCATACTCTGAATGCTTTTCAAGACTCTGATTATCAGATGTCTCTCAAACTAGTTGCTTCATTAAAGAAGACAAATGAACAAGGGTTTTGTGATGATGACTCACGTCGCATGAGTAAACAGCAGGAATACGAGCACGACCACTTCTCCCAGTTCAGTGAAATCTCTCATCAACCAAGACAACAACATGTCTTTCCTAAACAGCTGGTTTAGCCCTCTCTACGACGCCATTCTATGTCCATCATTACCATCCACCTTCCGCTGGCGACTCCTGGCTTTCCAGCCGATTGTATTGCTCACCAACACAATACAATATCTCCCCACTCTGTTCACCAAAGGCCACCGCACTGTCATTTGGATTCCTCTCAAGCGAGCGCCAGGCCACTCACTCCGCGCCATTGTCTGTCACCCAAGGACACAAAATAAGCCTGGATCGAGAGCTCTTCATCTCAACATCCACGGCGGCGGATTCCTCGGCGGACTACCAGAAGGCCAGACGTCATTCTGTCAGAAAGTCGCCAACGAGACCGGAGCGGTTGTTGTATCTACTTCCCACCGATATGCACCGCGCTACACCTTTCCAACCGCACACGAAGACGTCCAAGACGTTGCGGAGTGGTTGATCGAGAATGCCGATCGGCTTTGGGGTGCGAATCCGAGATTGATGAGCGTGAGCGGGTTCTCCTCTGGCGGGAATTTGGCATTGGGTGTTGCGCAGCGGTTGGCGCATACGGAGTTCAGCATCAAGGCGTCAGTGACGTTTTATGCACCGGTAAGTATATACCTCCTGCAACACCTTCAGCGACCGATATTAACACATGAGGTTGGCATCAGATTGATCTGCGGCTCCCACCGTGGGAGAAACCTCGGCCGGCGGGATTCCCAGAGAAAGACCCCCTGGCCTTCTTGCAGCCCCTGATGGACGCGTATGCAGGACCGGGACGGGAGAAGAATCTGACCAATCCACTACTACACCCTATCCTGGCGGATATTGAGTGCCTACCCCGGAATATGATGTTCGTGGTTCCCAAATTGGATATCCTGCTGCACGAGCAGACTGTGTTCGTAGAGAGGTTGAAAGAGGAGGCCGCGGCCATCAATCGCGGCTTGACTGATGAGCAGAGCTCGCCCGAGTCGCGATCGCACCCTTATCGCATTGAGAGCAGGTTCGACGAGGGTCAGATACATGGGTGGCTGGAGAGTATGACTTCGTATTCCTATATGCTTGACTGCAACTGACTGTGACGTGCTAGTTCCATCTATGTTCATCGACGCGAAGCTCAGAGACCAGATCTTCGACGACGCGGTGCAATTTCTGAATGACGTCTACGCTCTTCATGGACAGTGCTCGTGCTAGGGGCATGGCCTATTTGTATTCGCTGTACATATTATCTCACTACTCTCCCCTCAGCTACATCTGTACAATAGTGCGACAATTACACTCAATGCATTTACATACAACGGGCTGAATATGTTCAAAGCTGCTAAAACAGACCCAGGCAAGTGTTATCTGGCAGAGTATTAACTACTGGGTGATGTCGATCGAGTCTTTTTATTATCGATGATACTACGAGATCCTTTCAATACCCAAGACCCTATTAATTACGATAATGAGAAGATGAAGATTGAAAATGAAGATTAACCGATTATTGCATTGAGAGATAGTACATTGAGTATGCAGGAAAGGACAGACTCAAAGCGACTCCATCGAAGACACCATGCTTTGGAGAAATTGTTCGAAGAAATCAAGTAGTAACTCCACGAATGCAAACGAAAGACAAAAGGTATGCAAATTATCGTCACATCATGCTCGTATCCGAATCGTCCCAATCGTCGACCATTTACTCGATAGTAATCTTCCTGGCGCCAGTAGCAACGACCTTCTTGGGCACAACGATGGACAGAATGCCGTTCTTGAGGCTGGCCTTGACGTTGTCCTGGTCGACGGGAGTCGGGAACTGGAAGGTGCGGTGGAACTCGCCGACAGAGCGCTCGCTCACCCAGTAACGATGCTTGGCCTTGTCATCGGCCTTGCTGACTTGCTTGTCACCGGACTGCACAACCTCGGTGCTCTCCTTCTGTTTGTCAGAGGGCTCCTGGGTGGCCTGCTCGGGAGTGCCGGAGTGGTATTCGCGCTCGACGCGGCCCTTGATCACGAGGGTTTCGTTATCGGAGAACTCAATCTCAATGTCCTTCTGGGCGATGCCGGGAAGTTCGCCGTCCAGAAGGTAGGCATCTTTGGTCTCGCGGACATCAAAGCGGGGTGCAAAGGAGCGCACGGAGGAAGTCTGGCCTCTGGTCGAGCGGTGGACATCGTAGTCGTCCAGAAGGCGGAAGAGAGGGGCGAAGTCGCCAGCAGGACTGTGGAAGCTGTGGAAGAGAGACATTTTGAATGTGTGTTATGAACTTGTCAACGGATTGATATCGTGAGAAGAGGTTGTAGTTGATGTGAGCGCGTTGTTATTGTGATTCTTGTATTTTGATCTGGTGAACTAAAGCTCGAGTGGACGAGGTGTTGAAGGTCCCTATATACCCCAGAGCCATGGTTCGAGAATCTCCCATGATGCTATTCTGACGACTTCGGAACTGTTGATCGGATATTGCCTGATGTATCCCGAACCATCGAGCATTGATGACTGGAGAGAGCAGGAGAGCACTCGATGATTCGCGGAGGTTCGACGCATATCACGTGACAAAAAAGGCTCCCCACATGAGCTTCGCAAGGAGCTTCAGGGAGCTTTGGGAAGCTTCGAAACATGTACTTTGGCCAGATGCTGTCCATGGAACGTCCTAGATTCATCCAAGTTCATCTGATGAGCTGTCATACAGATTGCTCATTGCATGATTCTCCCGACACATCACGTTGTCCATCGTAGGTTCTGGCTACAACCGAAATTCGCCACCAGACCAGCATTCAAACATGCATCACACCATGACAGGGAACCGATAGAGATTATTGGCCCTATGCCACACCACAAATGCATTTCCAGCGCGTCCTATTGTGAGTTTTATGCGGCAAAAAGATTCACGGTGAAATCAATTTGTGGACAGGGCCGATTTCGGTGGAATTCTTCGATCCTTTTTTCGCAGCACTACTCGTCTCGTAGAGCATGCTCGTCGCGACCGTAAAATAACCAGGTAGTAGTTCTTGCATGACGGCGTCGAAGACGAGCCACTGTCCATAACGAGGCGTTCGAAAGTCCAGGGGACCGTATTGTTGTTTGGCAGATTGAGTGGCGTTGTTCCTCTTTACTCAGATTCTGATTCTTCGGGCTGCATGACTTTCTCATCAAGCTCCTATCCGAATATTAGCGAAACAATCGCTCTGAAGGAAGTTTTGATATCCATACCCTTCCTAGTCTTTCCTTCAAGTTTTGTAGCTGGCTTTCCTTGATGACTAGATGGCGGTCATCGTCTAGATCCTCCACAATGTAATCGTGACTTTCTTCGTCATATTTCAGTATGATGGCTTTGACGGATGGATCGCACTCGATGAGCACTCCTGTAGGTGCGGTATCGGTCAGCAACAGTCAAGCATCACAGGGTTTCAATGATCGGCGCACCTTTAATTGCACGAGGCATGATGAGTTTTTGTCTCGGTTATTGAGATGACGGACTGAGTTACGCAAATATAGGTTCCTAGGCTGTATCAAGTTGGATTAAGCAATGTGAGATCTTGCAAAGTTGAGTGTCTGTCGCAGGGTCCACAGTCGACACAGAGATGTGCCAAGACTCAGAGATACACTAAGGCACCAAGGCATCAAGGCATCAAGGCACCAATTTCCGAAGACCACTCCAGCTTCCGGCGAATTACTGGATTGGGTCTAGCTCTCCTATTTGGGTATAGTGTTTCTCCGCCGCCTGGCATCGTAAGCATCCTTTGCTCCCTGCTGGACTTCGCTGTGACCCAGCACTGCTTTCTCGCAAAATATGTCGAGGCTCTTGCGTGGGAAGCTCTCAGGCTTCTGGAAAAGGATTGCGTTTACATGCAGAGCTTCGAAACCAGTGACTATGTCGGTCAGGTCCTACGATATAGAAATCGTTACTGGAGTTGTATTGAGGAGCTGTGCCGATACCTTGGACATGACCTCGTTGGCAAGACTATAAGACCTGGCGCAACCTTGAGTTGAGGTCGAATTTGGCAGGTTACAGAGAGCGTACCCCAAGCGTTGCCTTGCGTCTTTTCTCAGCAGCATATTTCCAGCTCCTTAAGAAGCCTGCCGTGATAGCGCTTTTTATGCTTTGAGTGAAGCTCGGCCATCTCACAGTCTTCCGAATTGTGTGTTCCACCTCCTGTCTAAGGCCAATGTCCTGAGCTACTTGTTCTTCAAAAGAGCTAAGCAGTCTCTTGTCTGTTTTCGTGCTGTCCCCGTCAATCCGTTGTAATATATCACTGTACTCTTCCCGGGAAATATTCAGTTTTTTTCGGTACTGTGAGTAGAGCTTTCGACGAAAGGCGCTCGGCAAACTCCGAACAATATACCCGCGTACCAAGGGATCCATGCTTTGTTGGATTTTAGCACTCTCAGCAGTATCTATTCTGTCCAGCTGACAGCCAATGCTCGATATGTTGGGTATGTCTTTTAGCAAAGGGCGGTAGAGCCTTTGAAAGTCTTGCAGCTGGTGTTTGATCATGTTCTGAATCTTCTGTGGATCATCGCCCCCTACTGACATCCGCGGATCACCCATATATGAAATCCCCGCTATTGTGGCGTAAAGGTCTTGCTCAGTGAAAGTTTCTGGAAGTAGCAATAGCGCGACATTGATCGCTGAAGTGAGGTTTGCTTGATTTGCCTTTTGCACGCGTGGATCATCTCGTAGAATTCTGGTGGGCTTTTGCAGTCGCCCAGCGAGGTAGAGAGTATCCCACGTCAATAAATCACGACATAGCGTATCCAAGTTGACGACCCCATACTTGATGAGGGTGCCGTTTATCGTAATGAATGGGTGAAAATATACGCCGGCTCCAAATGCATCCTGACAGTGTGCCACTGCATACGACCCTAGTCCTCCGATCCCGCCATAGTGATCCCGCTGCTGTTGTAAATTGAGAGAGTGCCATTGCTGTGAGCATGAGACTCCAAATATAAAGTCTATCATTTTCTGATTGCTTCCTTGCATTTGTATAATGGCCTCAGAAGGGTCCGCATGTACCTTTGGCCCTGGAAACCTATCGACACCCTGCGGGAATACGCCAGAGCCATAGGCGAAAATATACGACATTGGGGCCCGAAAGGTGGCGACAATGTGCCTCAGTTCGTTCTCGAACGATTCATCCTGAGATGGGGACTTGGGAACAAATTCATTCAGAAACGGTCCGCTCTAACGGCTTCCACATGAGGACCCCGAAGCCTTTTCACGCGTAATCTGGTGTATACCCGTCAGGAAAGGTGTTTTCCCATGCTTGCATCGGCGCGAAAAAGTCGCAAAGGACATCGGGGTTGTAATGAAAGACTTCTCCCGCATCGTTTGAGTTGCATGCTTCAGGATTTGTGTAACAAGGAATCATGTTTAGCAATGTCTGAAATGTAGTATACAGAAAAAGACCAATAGTTCAACTGAGGGACAAGAAAAGGGTTGTCACACTTGACCACTAAGCTAAACATCTAACCAGGGAAGGATCTTGTGACGATTGTCGATTTCAAAAATCAGGGTTCTTATAATGTTTGGCAAAGCAGTGTATATGGCGGGTTACCTTGTGTCAACACTTCATGAAGACTGGAAAGATTGAGCTAAGATCCTTTACATCGCCGGCGCACAAAAACATGGGATGATGCGAACTTCAACTGATGCAACAAGGATTCTGACATGACATTTGTTCCTATTCGAAGGTAAGGTTAGCGGCAACACCGGGAGCTCTAGAAATTCCCACAGGTACCTTACCTAGGTATCTGTGTCAAGTGCTATCCAATGAATGGACAACTAATGAGTTGTACTCTACTGTCTCATTGGCTTATACTCTAAGGAATGGGTCAATCTTTGAGACAAATGTATGCGACTTGCAGTGCGGAAAGGCCACGCACAACTGTTTCATTTCCGTCGTCACCCAGAGTTACTCTGACGAGCATAAGGTACTCCGTACTGTGGAGGGCATCAAAATCCGCTGGTGGACATATGTTTTGCAAATAAATTTTTGGAAAAGTCTATTCCCGATCAAGTCTGCCCTCCAGATCATCACGGACATCTTTCTCGACCTCATGAGGTGCTGTCCAGCCTGTACATGCTTGGATGATTGCCGCTATGAGAGCTAGGACGCAGCCGCCCAGGATCAAAAGCTTGACTGCGTGCTCATAGCTTTGAATGGCCACCTTTTTCTCCAGTCCGCTCAGATTCCTCACCAACGCGGGGCTTCCCAAAAGTTTACGAACAAGGTCATCTTTCGCGGAAAGGCCGTGCTCATCAAATCCCTTCTCAAGCGCTCTCTTCAGCTCCCGCTGAAAGAAGCCGCCGCCAATGGCCGATCCGAAACTTCCAGCAGAACCACGGAACATGCCTAATAGGGAGGTCACAATGTAGTGTACGCTTGGATTGGTAAGGTGTAGCATATGAGACAATGCATAGTTCATCGAAGCGCCGATGAAAAGGCCATTAAAAAAGGTCGAGACGACGTAGGCGATGGTAGGTGAAGAAGGCGTCGACAGTATGGCCAATATAAAGTTTGTCAACGCAAAGAGCAAGAAAACTATCAGCGTTGAGCTACAAGGGAGGTCAGTCGTGGGTCCTTTCGAATAACTGGCAAAGACACCCACATGTAGTAACTACTCGTCTTGCGAATGTGGATCCATCCAACCAACAGGCCTCCAAGGCCGAACCCTGCGTTCGTTGGAACTAGGATCAACCCTGCGGAGGCGGGAGACCATTGTCGAACCGCCATCGCATACACTGGCGTGAAAAAGAGAACAGACCAGCGGGCCATCATCGAGATGAGTGCTGCTAGGCAGGTAGCCAGTACGCTTCTCGCTTTGAGCACATCAATGGGGATGATCGGCTCTGATGTAAACTTCGACTCAATAAGAAGGAAAACCGCGAAAAAGACGAAGCTCAAGATCAGAGGCGTGATTGTGACATCCGAGTTCGGCGAAGCCAGGCTGAAGAGCAGCAGAAATACCGAGGTCGTCTGGGAAAAAGTGGTTGGACCTCAGTTCTTGTCATCATAGCCTTGGGACAATCTTACCAGAGTCAATGCACCCGCATAATCGACTTTGGCTAGTTTATGCCAAGGAGAACGGGCCTCCAAACTCATTGAAGTACTCTCGTTGACGGGGACAGCGAAAAACTCGACCAACCCGAGTATCAAAGAAGCGGGTGCTTGAACCCAGAAGATCAGACGCTAGAGTCATTGAGTCAGCTCCGTATCCTTTTCAATTATCTGGATGAAAGATGACACACCCATCCGAAGACTGGCGTCAGCAATCCGGCAAGCACCGCACCACAAGAGATTCCCGTCGTCATTCCGACGTTCAGCAAGCCAATGAAGAGACCTCTTCTCTTCTTGCTTGTAAGGTCAAGTATGAGAATGAAGGAGGTGACCATAACGCCCGCACTGCCACAGCCAGATAGTGCACGTCCAAAAAGAAAGACCGGCAGGCTTCGAGAGACCGCAGTAACAAAGAGACCAAGGGATAATATCGTCACAGAGAAAAGATTATAATTACGGGCCGTGAAGATCTGGCAGAGACGTCCAGCTAAAGGAGAGACACTGGACATTGCGATCTTTATGCGAGACACTAATTAGTCCTCTGGAATGCGATGAACAGGTCTTGAAGGACCTTGAATGGACGTACCAGGTACGCTGAGTTGAACCATGTTGTTTCCGAGAAGGCGTCGAGATCTTCTGCGATATCCGATTGAGCCGTGGTCAACATTGATATGTTTGTGGCTGCAATTGCATTTGTTAGCCATTATAGTGAACGACCTCAAAATGGCAGATTTCAATTTACATTGAATAAACAGCAACAGGCCCACAGTGATAGTGATGACCGTTCCTCTGAGAAACGAAGGCCCTATCTGCGTTTCATCGTGATCCGTGGGCGGATGCTCTATCAACGGTGTGGCCTCAGAAGGCGATGCCTCTCTTTGTGGTTCAGCCACCATGATGCTTTCTGAAGGCGGGATGTTTTGGAAGCAAAGATAGGACAGCTTTCGTCCCCATGGATATTGACAATGGGGATATTGCTGTCAAAGTTGATAAAGACGTGATTCTGCCAGAAGTGGAAGCTGGCGGATAAGGCATTTATAATCAAGCCGAAGTGATAACTAATTCTCAAACAGACCCAATCATAAAGGAGCTTTGTTCATTTTCCAGGTTTCTGACATGATAAACGCATGCAAACATGGCAAAAAAAGGATCATCCAGGGGACCATAAGAACTCCATTTCAGTGTTATCTCTTGAAGCAAGTTCATTTGACGGGAGCTGTTGGTTCAGGTTCCTACAGCATCACCGTCCTGAGACACGGAGACGACTATTCAATTTGTTCATGAGCAATTCATGAGAAGTTCATGAAAATAGACAAGAAAACACTTGTAGACCATCGAGACATTTGAGATCTTGATTGGAACAAGACCTAGAGCTAGGTGCTCAGGGTGCTGTTGGGGGCTCCTGTCATCATTATTATTACTCCCATCCTTATGCAGACCGTTGAAAATCACATGATCAATCCAAGAGATGAATGGACAGCCACCGCCTGCCGTAATTGAGCAAGCTCCCCACATGACGGAAATGTGGAGCGCATGTGTTTGTTTGGATCGCCCGCAAGTTACTGAAGTTTAAGAGCTTCCCCTTCTTCGAGGATCGATGACCTATGGTGAGGCACAAGGACATGAAGATGACATTTTCTAGAAGCTGTCCCACCCCGAAAAGCGATTAGATTTCTTCTTTCGCTTATATCGTGCCGGCATGAAATTGAGGATATCGTGACCAACCACCTTCGATTGAGCCGTTTCCAGAGCTGCCATTTAGCAGACTTCCCGGATTGGAAACACGAAATTTCAATGTCTACGATCCGGTCCATGTTGGCAATTGGGGTCGATGTCCACGGCGTCGCGTCCTATTCAGATTTCCTTGCCATACAAGCTGGATGAACCGGCACATACTGGAAATGCGGATGGAAAGTCCGGTGCGAAGCCGCTATGTTTCTGTGGCTACTCCAAAATTGCTCAGAGATAATCATCCCATAACTGTGGGGCTTTTGAGTCGCAGGTGGCTTGGACGTAGGGACACAGATCTACAAACTGACAACTAAACGCTTAGTTTACGGCGATCGAAACCAGACCCTTGCTGACAAGAGCAATATTCTCCTTCCGCATGTGCTTTGTTACCTCTCAGGTCATACCCGCATGATACCGTATCTGCGTCGAGAACGTCGGGGCAAACTTGCTGATATTCGATACCTTATGGACTACGTCGAAGTCTCGAAAGCGAAAATGCTTTCTGTGACCTGGAAGAAGCACTGGAAGATCGAACACGCAGATCCAACTTCTTTCGAGATTATCGCATAATGGCAGGACACTCGCCAAAGCAAAATACGATTGGCGACTGAAGCGGTTGTCTGAGGAGAATACTAACATATTGCCACCTTAGAATGTATACGTAGCCAGGTCATCGGAGGAGCTTTTGTCGTCTTTGAATATCATCATTCTCACTCTTGATTTACAGACTTGTTCTATGATCTCATGTACAGAACCAAGATAAATACACCGTCGTCTGATTTTATGCAGGAATCTCGTATAACTTGTCCGTTGAGTTAAATTGTTCTTTTCCAATTCTTACAATCTCGAGATTGTTAAGGACCTATCAGCTGATGTAGACCCAGCCCGCCATATGACACCAATATGTACAGTGGCAGATGACAATCTCATCTGAGCAGGGAAGCACATCCCTCGATACAAACATAAATCCAGGACTTTCCGTTTCCTGACTTGAAGGAAAAGAGATACTCATCTATTCGTAGAATGAAGCCTATCCACATCACCGCGATGTTCCTCTACCTTTCTGCCGTCCAGGCAGAACACCGCATTTCTGCACGTAAGATTACCATCCTCTGGACCATCAACCGGTATTGACTGAAGTATACAGGAGAAATAAAAATGCCTCCCGCAGACGCGCAGAAAACCCCTGCCTTGGACCTAGGACAGACAGTGCTAGGGATCGACGACAACCGTACGTTGAAGCCGCCGAACAATGATTGATGCAACTGATGAATGCTAGATTGCTACCGCTGCTCGCCTCCGTGCTCGCACGCTGTTTGCTGTCATGGGGAGTTTCCGCAGTGCTGTTCGGATGGGCATTATTGTTACTGTTGCGAGGAGTGAGGGTGTAGTGTCCATGATGTATGGTTGTCTATCTGCGTCTGGTCTAATTACACATTGATATGATATCTTCCGGGATAAAAGGGCGTAGGATATCCAGCAATGTCGACAGCGGGATCCAGTCCAGCCGGCCGTGAATCGTTTCAATGGTGTGGCCGCTGTACAGGACACGGGCGAAGTATTCCGAACTCGAGGTTTTCCTACTTTCGTCAGAAACCAAACTAGATAATGGAAAAGAAGAGACGAAGCTTACCAGACCTCAAAAGCGATATTCGAGCCCATCCCCGGCCACCGCAGCGCTTTGATTCCCAACGCCCCCAGAATAGGGGCGATATCCCCATCATGCACAAAGTTATGGCTATACGACAGCCCCGAGGTGCCCTCCGCGACTGCCTCAAGCTTCCGCACTATCTCCCCGATAAACAAGCCTTCAACGAGCTGGATGTACCGCGTCGCGTTCGCGTTTCGCCGCCACCAGTAGTTATACTCCCAGTCACCGGCGCGGAAGACCTCGTCCGCCTGGGCCGCGGTCACGCACTGCGTCCGGTCCTGCACGCGGCACGGCAGCTCGTAACCGTTACACAGGCGGGCCTGGAAATTGTCGGCGAAGTGGTCGAAGGTCGAGGTCCAGGCGGACTCGTCCTGCGCGCCGAACATGGTTGCGAGACTGTCACGGAGGGACTGCGTGACTGTGAGGTGCTCGGTCCATTCTGCGGTGGATTGGATCGTGGATAGTAGGGTGTCGCGCGCGGAGCAGGGGAAGCCCCGGTCGACTGTGTCGATGGCGGAGGCTTGCTGGTGCAGGGGGATGGGCTCGTGGTAGTCTGGCCAGATGCCGCGTAGGACGGCGCCGGCGGAGCCCTGCGTCAGGGCTGAGGAGCTTGAGCGGAACCAGACCTTCTTCTGGTCTGGGGTGGAGGGGATCAGGCGTAGCTGGTCGCCGTAGACGGCTCGGAGATCACGGCCGTGCTGGTAGCCGTCGAGGAAGCCGCCCAGGGTGAGTTGGGGGTATTGGCAGGACCCATTCACGTAGGTGGTAAGAAATGGGTTGGTCGGGTCTGAGTAGGCTTGACCATAAACAGCAACTGGTGACGGGTGCTGCGAAGCTGGTGCGGCGTAAACGTGCGGATTGATGTTGTCGCAGTTGTATTCTTGATCCTAGGCGGTGTTAGCGACAGATCGGCGAAATTGAAAAAAAGTGACTTGCCTCTCCTCCAGGAAGAATGTTGTAAGGAGTTCGCCGTTGATGGCGCTGTAAATATTCAAGGTATACCAGCTGAGCCTTGATGGTATGATTTGCAACAGGGGGCGGCGGGGAGTAGGTCTCTCCGCGAGGATGAGGCATGGAGCAGTAATTGTAGGCATCATTGGTGGATGGCGAGCTAGCACTGTCAGCAGGAGCAGTGTAGATGCCGCCATAGGTGCCGTAGGAGGTGTTGGAGATGAATGTGGTGTGGTTCAGAGGCGGATAGAAGGTGTCACGGGAGGCAAGTGTTGCCGTCCCTGAGAACAAAAGTGTCAAGCCTAATGACAGCATATTGACTAGAGCTTCATAGAATGTGACAGTGTGACCATGGTCGTCACTCCATATCATCCGCATTATTTATACTTGAGCTGTCATGTTTAAAAAGATCGGAGGTCCTCTGGTAATTGCTGAGTGCTAAGTTGAAGTGGGAAACACCACACTCTGTGGATGATCTGCGTCCACTAAATATGCTGAATCTTCCACGTGCTGCAGCCAACGCCATCAATTAAGACATGCTCTCAGAGGAATGCAATCTGTTGGACGTTACTCTGGTCAAGAAATCAACTATCATTATATTCAATGTAATGTATTTGAAACGGGCATTACAAAAAATCTGCTAATTTGGGATACTAAAAGCTTGGAAACTGGACATCAGAAGGCTGTTGATATATAGTTGGGCTTTCCACCATACAAGACACCAGGAAAACACCACACAGTGAGGAGAATGAAACATTTGCTTGTATAACTAAAGGGGACCGCTCTGGTGATTTAAGGTACTTAGTTAAGCACCCTAGTACTAGAAAGCTATCCAATTATCAGGGCTGTGGCTGATGTTTAACGCGCATCTACTTAATAGGATCCTAATTCACAATGCCTATTGGTATCAGCCTGTTATTTGTCTGCATAAGACTCAACTGGCAGATATAAGGGTGTTTACTGAATTAGAAAACTAATATGACCAAGTTCCTGCTGTTCCATCTAACCACCCCAATGTTCTTGCGAAATTTCAACAATACGGATTCACTATAGGAGCTGTAGCTATATACTAACCTAATAGATATCTTGAAGTCGGGCACTTGCGCGGAAAAGGCTGGTTAGGATAATAGTGGCTGGGGAGGTTTCTAAGCATAATCTATGTCTCATGTGCATGTATTATTTGACACTTATAGAACTGCTTATCATGATTATCTTTTATCTCTTATATACCTATGAGAGGGTACTGCATCTTCTTACACGCCATATAGCTTAGCGTGTAAAAACTTAATACTCTAGAGTCATGGTTTCCTGATGGAGATCAAGGACCAGCGGGAGACATACTGTTTTGAGAAGCCCATGAGGGTGAAGCAAGGATTGGAATGTATATTCTAGCCTTCCTCATGATGTGTATAGTCTGAACAAAGCTTGTTTAGTGTGAGAGGTACGGAGTATATCTACGATAATTCATTGACAAGGTCTATTGACATATAATATGCTGGGGTACCTAAATCTAGTCCTAATCTCTATTTTAGAATTTGAGATTATCTAATGAAAGATTCATCATCTGGCAATTGACTTGATTCCACAGGTAATATCCCAACCCTGCATCTCTGTCTTATCTAACTGTTATCACCCTTTTAGCCGCTATCCATGGATCGCGTGTCAAATCCCCAAAAAGGTTAGGGCCATCCATCCCCGGCTTTCTCGACCAACCACAATAGAGAACACGGAAACCTTCCGCCATGAAAGCTATTCCGACCATTCCGAAGTTCCGACATCCCTCGCTTCCCCTCATATCCCGATCAGGCAAGAGATACGCCCAGGTGGTACAAAATGGCCTTCATTTCTTCGCTGCATCCTCAATGCTTTACCTTTCGCCCAATGTGTTTTTCCTCGCTGAATTTCTCCTGACATGGCTCCTCACCCCCTTGCTATCCTCTCCGAAGCGGAGACTAACCTTGCCCGCGATGTGGTCATCGCAGAGCACCCCAACACCGTCATTGACTTCCGGGAGATCTACCTTTTAGAACCCCCCAAGAACCAGCTGCGCGAGTTCTTGGCTCTTGAGCACGCTGGTCGTCTGAGCCCGACCACACCTCGACCCCCTCGTCTCGCTACTTGCCAATACGACGTCATTGGCGCTGACCGCATCCCTGCCTACCATGAATCCGTTGTCGATGTGGTCGCGGGAAAGCGTGTCAAGCACCACATTGTCGGAAAGCAACACCATGCTGCACTTACTCTGTGCGTTGATATTCCTATATCGGAAAGACGATCACCTGCTAATGGCGGTGTTACAGGAGCGAATTCGATACCCTCGTTGAGCGATGTTTTGCCTCTCCCTTATTCCAGAAAGCCCTAGAAGATTTTGACCTGCCGCCGGGATTTGAGGTCACAATCGAGCCATGGCCCTATGGAGGATTGGACCACACCGATGAACATCGGCGGTACTTCCAGGGTCTCTGTTTTGCTACCGACAAGAGCAAGAATAACCCGGATGCGAACTTCTACTCCTACCCTCTGCCACTAATCCCTGTGATGGATGCTCATACCCAAGAAATCATTCGAGTCGATCGTCCGGCCACCGGCGGCAAGGGAGATGGCTTGACCGAGCAGACCTTCAAGCGTGATATTATCGGACACTGCACGGCCTCCGACTATGTGCCGGAGCTTCTGCCAGAAGGCACTCGGAAGGATCTGAAGCCTCTGAACGTCGTACAGCCCGAGGGCCCTTCTTTCCGCATCACAAATGAGTCCTTGGTCGAGTGGCAGAAGTGGCGTTTCCGTGTTGGCTTTAATCCTCGTGAGGGTGCGACTATTCACGATGTCTGGTACGATGGCCGTAGCGTGATGCACCGACTGGCTATCAGCGAAATGGTAGGTTACTTTCAGAGGATTATTCAGACAGTTTGGCGGCAGTTCGACTGATCAAGATTTAGACTGTTCCTTATGCCGACCCTCGTCCTCCCTTCCACCGCAAACAGGCTTTCGACTTTGGCGATGGTGGTGGTGGTAACATGGCCAACAACCTTTCTATTGGCTGTGACTGCCTGGGCGTCATCAAATACTTTGATGCTGTCATTACAGGGCCCGACGGTCGTGCGAAAAAATTGCCCAATGCTATCTGCCTGCACGAACAGGACAACGGCATCGGCTGGAAGCACTCCAATTGGAGGACAGGCCGTGCTGTGGTCACCCGCAACCGCGAACTGGTCGTGCAGTTCATCATTACGCTGGCAAACTACGAGTACATCTTCGCCTACAAGTTTGATCAGTCTGGTGGCATTACAGTCGAGTCCCGCGCGACGGGTATTCTGAACGTCGTCAACATCGACGCGGGCAAGGTCAGCGACTATGGTAATGTAGTCAGCGGAGGTGTCTTGGCCCAGAACCATCAGCACATCTTCTGTGTCCGAATGGATCCCGCAGTCGACGGACCAAACAATTCCGTCGTGGTTGAGGAATCTCACCCAGTTCCCATGAACGAAGTCACCAACCCCCAGGGCAATTTTTACAAGGTCACTCAACAGACGCTAGAGCGGGCTTGCTACCTCGATGCCGCTCCTGAATTGAACCGTACCATCAAGATGATCAATCCCCATAAGAAGAACCCCATCAGCGGTCACCCTGTCGGTTACAAGTTCATTCCGCTGGCGACCCAGCGGTTACTGGCGGATCCCAACTCCGTCCAAGCCAAGCGCGCGCAGTTTGCGCAGCACCACGTGTGGGTGACAAAGCACCGAGATGGCGAGCTGTATGCGGGAGGTCGATACACGCTTCAGAGCCAACAGGAGGTGGAAGGAGTGGCTGACGCCGTCAAACGGGGCGAATCCGTGGTCGACACCGATGTGGTGGTCTGGAGTACTTTTGGTATCACGCACAATCCTCGTGTGGAGGATTGGCCAGTCATGTGAGTAACTCTTCATCCCTTTCAATTTTGCTATTTGTCTCGGTGCTAACAAGAAATAGGCCTGTTGAGATATTCCAATTGATGATTAAGCCGGCGGATTTCTTCACGGCAAATCCCTCTCTGGATGTGCCCTCGAGCAGGAATGTGTCATCGAGAGTCGTACAAAAGGAATGCTGTCGTGATGCTCAGTTGTAATTGGAGACTGTCGGATGAAGATTATGATTCATGATATTTGTAAGAGTGTATATTTGACCAGCAAGTATGGATATGTCCGTGGTGGATCTCTGTATATAATCGTTTCTTAATTGAAGGATCAGTCAGTTCAATTGATAAGACGAAGTTAGTTCGATAATCTCATAACTTATCAGAAGAATTGGTCCCTTGGATAACCAACGTTATCCATTCATAGGATGATGCCTCAGGCTCTTATCGATTCTTCCGCTTCAATTCCGCTGTCCGCTCGAGACGCGCGGAATTGCGGTTCTTCCACTTGCCCACCGATTCCTCCTCTACCTGATATTAGTACGACCGTCCTGCAAGTATCAGCCCATCTTGAACCATCGGAATCAATCTCTAACATCCCGATGCGGTATAAACCCTAGAGTCAGATCAGTTCGCCGCCTCCAGATCATGGACTCGGAATCCCCCAAGCGCGGTGCCGACGTTCCGGATCCGCCTCGGAGCAAGAAACGAGCCAAGTACACGCAGGTAGCATGGTGCGTCCCGCCGTGTTGAGCTCGTCGTGACATTTGTCTGACAGTAATGGCACAGCAATGAGTGCAAGCGGCGGAAACTGAAATGTAGCGGGGAGCCGGTCTGTTCGCGTTGTGCCCGTGACAACGTTGAATGCGTCTATGTTCCCAACACACATGCACTTAGTAATAGGACGATTTTGTCCCCAGAGGTGCAGGTTCACGATGAGAGGTTGGCTGCATCAGACTTATACTGAGTGAGATAAGTTGACGATTATCAGGTTCTCGAGCCGACTGATTACCGTTGACTATCAGATCGAGGCCCTGCAGCGCGAGATGCGAGCCATGTCTGCTCGCCTGAGACAGCTTGAATCAGCCTCCCCCTCAACGACAAACAATACCCCGACAGCTATCTCAACGGTGTCGTCTTCGTCAACGACCGCGGGATTCCACCGCATCATGAATCGCCCCCAGTCACCGTCTTACGTCGGTCCCACGAGTGCGGAGTTTGGCCTGACCGCGCGCCAACGGCACCCTGAGGACTTTGACAGCAGCGACGACCTCGTCTCGACGGCGGTGCAGAGCCCCGCCCCTCCGCTCGGAGACGATATTTCTCCTGACGATCCGCTGGGGTGTCTAGGTCCCGCCGAGGCGCTCCGTCTCGTCGACGTTTACGAGAATACGGTCGGGTTGATGTACCCTTGCGTCGATTTGGAAAGCGTGCGCGCGTATATTGCGGAGTACTTCCGGGATAAGGACCGGGTGGGGCCAAGCTCACCGGCTACGCTGGACCAGGAGTGGTTCTTCGCGAGGGACATCGAGGTGCTGAAGATTCTGCTGGCGACGGCATTGTTGGCCGAGTCACATGGGCGTAGTGAGAGGGCGGCATTGCTGGCGGATAGCGTGGAGGATCGGTTCGCGACGCGGCTCAAGGTCTATGAGGTGGATATGAAGGAGTTGCTCATTTTGACTTTGCTGGTATTTCCGTCATTTCTGCCTGGTGTATTCTTGAGCGGCTGCTGACGAGACAGTCCATCTTCCATTCCTACCGCGACGACGAAGTCATCTCCTGGCGGCTCATCGGCCTGGCGGTGCGAGGATCAATGCAGCTGGGCCTACACTGCCAAGAGACCTGGCAAAAGACCGGCGGCGTCTTCCCCGGCGAGCTGCAATGCGAATATGCCAGCCGGCTCTTCTGGTGCATCTACGTGCTCGATCGCAAGTGGTCCTTCGGCACGGGCCTGCCATTTGCTATCCAGGACTCAGACATGGACACCAACCTACCCGAACCGGGCACAAGCACCCCCTACCTCACTTGTATGATCAACTACGCGCGTCTGAGCACGAAGATCTGGGGCCTAGTCGTCGGCTGGCGCAATCGGCCCCGCGCCGCGACGGCTGACTACTGCTCCTACCTCGACTTCCAGGTCCAGCAATGGGTCCAGTCCATCCCCCCAGAGCTACGCTTCGACCCAACCCAGTCGCAACCCCAGTCTCAGCGCGCCGGCCGCGCCGCCATGGTCACCCCGCAACCGCAAGCCCAATCCCACACGCAAACCGACAGCATGATGATGCTCCAAGTTCTCCTCGCCCTCCAGGCAAACCAACTCCGCATCCTCGTCTACCGCCAGAACCTCCTCAGCAGCGAGAGCATCGAATCCAACGTCTCCGGCGCCTCGACCGCCGTCGAAACAGCCAAAAGCACAGTCCACATGCTCGATTTCTTCTCCCGCGTGTCGCCGCTCTACTTCCAGCGCCCGGAACCCTTCAATTACTTCCTCATCTCGGCATTGGCGGCGCTGTTCCTGGCGGTCTTGCACGCCCCCGCGCGGTTCAGCCAAGTCTGTCGGCCCGAGTTCTACGCCGCCGTCGACATGGTGCGGCGGTCGTCGACGCGCGCGCGCACCTCCCGCCGCTTGCAGAAGATCATAAAGAGCTTGAAGATGATCTGGATGAATCTCGGGGCGCAGAGGCCGAAGGAGTCAGTGCAGAAGAACGGGGCGAATCGCCGCACTCCGCTTGGACTGGATGCCACGGGGACCCCGCTGTCGATGGGAAGTCATGCCGAGTCGCCGTATACTCAGAGGCCCGTGGTGGGTCTCCCCACGCCGCAGCACCCGGCGTCTGCGTACTTGCGCTCCATGACATCTCCGACGACGGTGCTGGCGGACGAGACCAGTTGCGAGGACCTGACGAGCTTCTTCGAGATGGCGGGTGGCTTTTATTTTGATTCGAGAATGGGGAATGGGGGAGCGAGTGATGAGCCACTGGTACCTGATGCCGCGATGGAGGGGTTTGATGCCTTTCAAGCGGAGGATGAGGCGTTGACGAGGGTAATGGCTGGATTATTATAGGTTTGCTGCGAAGCATGAGCAGGCACAGGCCCAGGCTGAGGCTGAGGCACGATGCAATCAGGTATATGCCATCATATACTTTTGTTCTTCATTTCGGCTACCTTCAAGCCTATACGACAACAATCTATGTATGCTATTACTCTGATACAATCATACCGGACTCAAGCTTCGACTGGCGGTTCCAGAAGCGACATCCGCACCATGACCTCGACCGAACTCCACAAAAGACCCGACGGCACATCTCGGTCCCACTCGAAATGGGGATTGACAAACTGCATATCGAACAGGAACATGAATTTGGCGAGCGTGAGCCGAAGCTTCTGCAGCGCGATCTGCCGGCCCGGGCACGAGCGGGGGCCCGTGGAGAACGGCCGGAAGGCGCGCATTTCGTCTGGGTTTTTCGGGTCCAACCAGCGTTCGGGCTTGTAGGTGTCCGGATCATGCCAGTATCTCGGGTGGCGCTGAAGTGTGTACAGATCCGCCGAGACTAAGCACTACTCGTCGAATCCTGTCAGTGGGGGTCCGAGGAAGACGGCGCGAGAACAAGAAGAAACGCGAAAGGAGGGGAATGCATGCGACGTACTCCAGGGGGAACGTAAACACCGTCTACCACAGCGCCTGTCGAAACCCGACTGGTGAATTGCCCGTTCAGTCCGGGCCAGAGCCGCAATCCCTCGTTGATACAGGCCGTGAGGTAGGGAAGTCCTAGGAGTTGGCTGTCGGTGATGGGCTTGGAGGCTGAGAAGGTTGACCGGATCTCCTGTTGTAGAGTGCGGTAGCGCAACGGATCCCGCATGAGAGCGCATAGGATCGCTCGGGTGGTGGACTCGGATGTTTCGAACGCGGCGTAACTAGGCACCGTTAGCTTTTCTTCCATGATTGGAGTGATTCCGACTCACATCAGGCCAGTCACGTTGCTAGACATCTGCTTGGTCAAGACAGGGTACTTGTCGTTCTTGTACGGTATTCCTTGGGAAACGAACGTGTTCTTGCCTTCGGCTCGCCTGTGTCCACCTGTCAGCCGTGGTATATCATCATGGGCCCGTGAGGCGTACTGCTTCAGTGCGACAACAGATAGGTGTTTCGGGTCTAGGTATTTTGGTATCCACAGAGGGCCAAAGATATCAACGAGCACCTTGAGTCCGCGCCGGCCCAGAAGGAATGAACCCAGCGCGAAGCCGACTCCGATCAGGTGTTGGTGAGTCTTTTGGCCGAGCCAGTTGTCTGCCCAAGAACACATCTGATTAGCCCTAACAGTGATACGGGTGAACGTCACATGATACCTTTCAGCCTTTGCGGGACGGAATATCCCAGTCCCAAGTCGCCTATGAGATCCCATTCCAACTTCTCGAGGAGACTGGTGAGATTATAACACTTGGGCACGCCCGCCTTGATGTCCAACCTGGCCACGAGCTCGCCGAATCGTCTCTCGTGGTGGCCCTCAATACCGCCCGCGAGCGCGAGACGGATGGCGGGTTGGAAGACTCTCCGCAACTCTCTCTGCTCTGCTGGGCTGCTATGGCTTACAAAGGTAACGCCCGGTGGACAGAGACCTTCCGCAGTCGACTGGAATGATCCATATGTGATGAAGGAAGCGCAGTTTGTGTTGTAGATGGTGTCGTGGGCACTGAGGGAGCAGAAGGAGAGCTCACTTGGTCCGAGGCGTACGACGTCGCCTTTATCCTCGGTCAGAGTCATCCGAATTAGCGAAGGAGATGAAGGGGAAGAAAGGGAGCGCATCAACGGCTTACCATGCTTCTGGTGCTGCTCCCGTATGCCTTGGTTGAGTTTGTTCGACCAAATGACACCAATTAACCAGGACTACCTCTGTCAATTGTGACCTTGACGACGCCATATAGGACATGCTCACTGGGCATATTCTCGCCAATCGAGGCCCGGGGACCTTGGCCAAAGCATCGGAATATATATAGTACACGACATAGGCAATGCAAAGAAATGACGCCTGCAGCGAGACGACTCATTAGTCCAAGAACGTTCATTTAATGTGGGAAAGATGGGAATCTTACCGCGATCACAGCCTCCATAATGACGGAGAACGCAAATCTTATCCAGTCAGAACTGGAATCCAGTTATTGCGGAAGTTGTAGTGGAAAGCACAAATTGCTTCCTCTCTCCGTCCACGACGAAGTAAAAACGTCCAGTGGGCGATGATGGCAATATGTGCAGACCTTTTTTGATTTTATCTCTAATATCTACTGGGAATAGGAAGGAGGAAGGGATGTGGCCAAGGGGGTGTGCACGCGGCTGACTCTACATCCACAGCCAAAACGGTTGATTCATTGGATGTCATCCACACCACATTGCAGGATTGTATCATGTAACGCCACTCTTAAACGAGAACGAATACGCAGTGGCATACCACGTTGAAGCAAGGGATGGGGAACCTTATGCTTTGGGGTTATTGTGACCAGCATCGTACATGGCATGGAACGCACGGGGTATTTGCTGGAGAAAGGGTTTCATCTTGCTGCTATCTGGGAAACTCGACAGGAGGGTAGCTCTGAGGTTTGTGAGTCGTTCTTCACCTGTTTGGTTGCTGGCATGTTCTGCGAATCTGGGATCCTCATTGAAATAAAGTTGATAAGAAGTCGGGCTGGGAAGAATTTGAGACTGCAAGGGGCAGCATATGATCGTCGCCGAGGTGGACATTGTACCTGCGTCATCAAAGTTCGAACCGATCATAGGGATGGGGGAAGGAGACGAGATTGCGCATCAAGGGATAAGTCAATGAGAGGATCGACATGCATTATTGTGTCTTCAAAAGCTCATTGGATAGGTCCAACTTTGAACAGACAATAGCTGGAAACACTTGGTGAAGCCTTCAGTAAATATTGCATTTAAGTGGCTGGCTAGGCCTAAAAGCAATAAACGAAATAGTCACTGATGAACCTGGAGGACCAACTCAAAATGCTTTCATGATTTGCAATGATCTCTTTCAGCATTCGTGTCGCTGTATTTGTTGCCTGACAATGAACTCAATCAAGAAATGTGGGAGATTTCCATGTCTCTGAGCCATCGTTCGCCATCCACATTCTGTCAATGAAGTGTATCATTGCGTCACAAACTCGAAGGATCGTGCACTGATAAAAGCATGGAGCTTGGCCATGGAGGCAATTCATCGAGAGCGAGGTTGGAAATCGGACAGCATCGAGCTCGACAACATGATCCTTTCAAGGCTCTTGCACCCCATCGCGCTAAACATTATCGATAAGCCTGTCAAGGAATCAAGCAGAAGGATGAATGACAAGCGAGAAGACAACGTAGAACGGGCCAGAGAGAAGTAATTTTCTCTTAAGCTGCTGGCTTCAAATCAACCACGCCTATAGGATCTGTCACTTCGTATGACGGGCTTCCTTCTACCGAGGAGCATCCAAGTCCCTCACCTTGCACTCAAAGAATGGAAAGATGCTTATACAACAACAGGTGAGATTCCTCCTTCATTGGCATCAGCGATTCCTTTGCTCGCGACCATGTTCCTTGAATGCACTTCTCCGAGGATGGCAAAGTGATTTAAGCCCGAAGATCGCAGTACATAGTCGTGGGCTCTCCGCAATACAGGACGAGGCCAAATCTCGATAGCGGAAATGGTGCTACTAGGGCACCTTCCAGGCTCCCGTTTCCGTGCAACTCACTATTGACGATGGCGAATGGTTCGCTGTATTGAATAAGACCGGCCTGTTGACTGGAAGGCGCATCGCTGTCCCGGACCGACTGCTGACAACCGTAGTGTACACAACTTAAAGCAGACACAACTAGAGGTTAACAGGTCCTAAAGTAAATATAACTCAAAGTAGACATGCTCTTAGGTTGACATGCTCAGAAGTTGCTAAGACACATAAGATAACACCTTACAGACCATGTAAGGCCTGTATTACACTAGATAGTAATGCAATGCTAGTAGTGATTTTGCACCAGACCCACTGGGTGACTCACATAAGGTCTATCTATTTCAGCACTAAGCTTGAAAAGGCTTTAGCCTATTACATTTGGCCTCTATTTAATGATTCATGGTCATCAAAGATGAGTCAAATGCTGCCATCAGCCACTTAAGTAGCATTATGATTGAGTCATGCTCTTGTTACACCAGCCAAAAAAAATTATGATCAGCAGCCTACCACCTCCCAGAGCTGCTTTATGTTTCGTCAAGTTAGGTCCGGAGAGGCACTCCCATAAGAGGAGACCAACGCTTTGTGGCAAAATATAAGAAGTCAAGGCTGCACTACTCGTGCTTTGTTCATACTTTGAAGGGATCATTCTTCTTACTCGAGTCTCGAATTGCTTCCTCACTCAAACCCTCATCAATACCATGGAAGACACTCCCAGCATGACCACTCCCAGCAGGGACTCAACCCTCACATTCCGCGAAGTCACCGAAGAAAACTGGCGTGCGGTGGCAAACCTGAGTCCTAAAGACGGCCAGATAGGAAACCTCGCCCCCAACGTTTGGTTCTCTCTGCGAAGCCCATTACTCCGAAGACGCGTGGGTACGAGCCATCTACGCCGACGAGACGCTTGTCGGTATGCTCATGATGGCAATATGGGATCCTGATGAGGCGTACTACATTTGGCGATTCATGATTGATGGCCGGTATCAGGGTCTCGGGTACGGTCGCCGCGGCGTAGAATTCGCGATTGCACATATACGACAGCACAACCCTCAAGCAAAGCAGTTGGGGGTGATGTCAACGCCACCGGAAGGGAAGATGAGTGGAAATCCGGCGAAGAATGTGAAGCCTGAAGATTCGCCATATAAGTTTTACCAGAAACTTGGGTTCAGGGAGACTGCGCCACCAGATGAAGATGGAGAGATTATGATGTCAATAGACTTGTAGATATCAATATTCGCCAATTGCCACTGCCCATGCGTCAAATTCAGTTCTGGTTTCAAAAGACACAGTATCCGAAGATGAATTGTGGAGTTGAGACGCGGCTAGTTTCCATACACTATGTTTAGAGCTCGTTGCTGCCTCTTCCTGTTACTACTCTCTTTCCTTTTTACGGTTGCCATCTCGAGTGACATGGAATAATACTGAAAAAGCTCGCTAGTAAAATGGAATGGAGGAAATGAAGCAGTCTTATTCAGAACGATATATCGAGTCGACTTCACTTCCAAGCGTAGATGCAAGTCCAATGGCCCCAGACTGGGTGTCTCTCTCTCCTAATAAAGCACAATCCCTTTTTCTCATAGAACCTGCAAGCTGGCAAATTCCCCTCGGCCGTTCGCAGCCAGAACCCTCCATCCTCTCGTGGTAGCTTTATTTTGGCTAGCTCGAGCAGTACACCACCGAGTCCTAGACTCTGCGCGTCAGGGTGGACAAAAAGCTGATAGCCGGCCAAAGTGTTAAGAGGAGTGGAAGGGATCTTGAAATTGGGAGGTAACCTTTTCCATGATTCAAAGAAAGTTTGTGCTGTTGAAGGAAGGTATTCTGGTGATAGTGGAGTGAGGTTGAATGTTGGCATTCTTTAAACTGATAACAAATGTAAATTGAAGCCCTAGATGAAGAAACTGTGTAAATAATATTTATTAGTAACACTCATAGGAATAAGCTATTAGAATATTGAAGTCAATGTATACGTACTGTCATAGTCCAATCTAGCCACTCAACTGATCGACCAGATGCCATTTGCTAGGCGACGCTGCGATGAGAAAAATTAGACACGGAGGGGAAGGAAAGGAGGTGACCGCGGCGGCCCTATGACATCTTCGAAGAGAAATCCTCCTAAGTTTCAAGGAAAAGTTCTCACGAAGGTCGCAAATATGTGTCAGGTCTCCTGGACCATTTCAAACAAACAGGACCTAATGAGATCATGTGTGTTTTCTAGGCGAATAGGATCAGGGGTCGACACGGATATATATAAGTAAGATTTTCAAACATTCGCATTTGTATTCATAATTTGCAAACCTGTATGAATATTTGTATGAATATTGGACCCTGCTGCGTGGAAAGACCAATATGAGGTGGTGGTTTGGAACGAAGGGGCGGCTGGTGATAAGAGAGAGAGGACACAAAGCTAAATTGAACCTGTCACTACATATAGATTAGAATATCCCAAGGGAACACTTGCCAAGACGGCAAATCTCATTCTCTAGCAGTCTCGCGTGCTGAAGGCTGGCTCAGGTGAAGACAGACGGAAGAAGCATCCATGAATAAAATGAAGGACTGATATCATTGGCTAGTCCAAGTCCTACAATTCCGATTGCCTGAGATAGTGCAACTGTGAACAGCCTAGGAGGAAGGATGGGAGTTAATGGGCTGCGCATTACCGAACCACAAGTGGTCGTTCATGTTCGCGAACTGATGATTTTGAGAAGTGGGTTCAGTGATCGCATATACTCCAAATGTGGTGGCCGACTCCGTTGGCGCTCCTTCATTTTGTGCCCATCCAAAGTAGATACCTGGTAATAGGAGCATATCTCCTGTTGAATTACCGACAGCCGGGCACTCACGAGGAATGTGCGATTGGTGGATATCTTGCTGAAACAAACCGAAACAGCAACTCCTGTGGCTGGAGGACTCGGCAACTACGACTTTGGCAGCTAGCACTCAGCAAGTCACCGCACCTCGGTGTCTCGGTAAAATATGAGGCAAACATATTTAACCGATATGATGCCTTGTGAGGAACTTTGATGAGAGAGCAGGATGTAGGATCCTGGTCGTCACCCCGCATTTTCCTCCGCAACCCCGGAATTCTGTGTTCTGCAGAGTGCAACGTGGAGATGTCGGCTGATTTGCAGGGATTAGCATGCTAGAACGACACGACCAAGTGATGCATACAGACTCAACAAATCGAGATCATTGTGGATGCTGAGGCGCAGGATGGAGCATATCAAGGACAATGACCGACGTGTCTCTGCCCAGCGATTTCTGAGACGAAGCGGGGCAAAGGTGAAACTCACCATGTGCCATTAGTATAAGCCTCTACTGCCCGCTCATCTTGACGAATGCTCCAGCCTTACTGAGCCTAATGTCAATAGATCCTCCCACCGGAGCAGAAAACGGACAAATGGTTTGCACAAATAGTTCATTTGTGCTCTGTGAACCCCTTAGCCATACCATCGGTTGAGTCGTACGCATATATATATATAGCAAGTGCTGGTCTTTCGTATCATGCTTCTTTTCCTACCATCGTGAGATCAATTCGAGACCGTACAGTGGCCATGCCTTCCTCAACTTTCGTGGCTATAGCGTCCTGTCTGGTCGCCTTGGTCCATGGCTACGCAAACCCGGGGTCATGTTCTGGGGCTTGTAACGTTCATGATCCTGGCCTGATTCGAAGACAGTCCGATGGAAAGTACTTTCGATTCTCGACTGGCAATAAGATCTCCTACGCGTCGTCCTCTTCCATTCAAGGCCCATGGACTGTGCTAGGGTCCGTGTTGCCGAGCGGATCGTCGATCAATCTAGATGGAAACGACGATCTTTGGGTTAGTAAACTCTCAGTTGACTTCACATCTTTTTATACTTACTCAATGCAAACCCCCCATCTGACCTCCCCTATATTCTCTATTCTCCTTCTGTGATCCCCCAATGTGACGAAAGTCTCCCCGACAGCTTATAAGGGATTGCAGCATCCCTCCGGGTTAAGTCTGACTTGAACTGTGTAGGCACCGGATGTCTCCCTCGTCAACGGGGTCTATCATGTATATTATTCAGTCTCGACATTTGGATCCCAATCCTCTGCCATCGGTCTTGCAACATCCTCGACGATGGACCTGAATTCGTGGACCGACCATGGCTCGACGGGTATTCAATCCAGCTCTTCAAAGCCATACAATGCGATTGATGGCAACCTCTTCAACGACGGGGGAACTTACTACATGAATTTTGGCTCCTTCTGGCATGACATCTACCAGGCACCGATGAACTCGGCCGCAACCGCCGTGGCATCCTCCTCGTATAATATCGCCTATAACCCCTCTGGAACCCATGCCGTCGAGGGAGCGTTCATGTATAAGTATGGCAGTTACTACTATCTCTTTTTCTCTGCCGGAATCTGCTGCGGCTATGACACGTCCAGGCCGGCATCGGGACAAGAGTATAAGATCAAAGTCTGCCGATCCACCTCAGCGACTGGCAATTTCGTAAGTCAAAGCAGGAGACCTCGATGATGCAAAGCTGATGGTGTCTTAGGTTGACGCTAGCGGTGTCGCTTGCACGAATGGTGGCGGCACGGTTGTCCTCGAAAGTCACGGAACTGTATACGGACCTGGTGGACAGTAAGTCTCTCCTCATCCACACTTTATTCCGTCAGGAAAAGGCATCAAAGTGCTAATTCTTCACAGGGGTGTCTTCACTGACCCGAGCCTCGGCCCTATCCTTTACTACCACTATGTCGATACTACGATTGGCTATGCAGACAGCCAGAAGCTTTTTGGATGGAACCAGATTGATTTCTCCAGCGGATGGCCTGTCGTGTGAGCAAGCGGGTCTTTTCCGTTTCCTTTTCGCTTGAAGTGTAAATAGCCGGTCTTCATGGTTCAAGCTCGAAGTATCCGAAAGTCATTTATCAATCAACATGACATTCTCTCATATGTCGAATGAAAAGTGTATGCGTGGATGACCAAATGGTGCAGATTCAGATTGCTGCTCGGTAGAAAGAAATCGCTTCGAGCAGGAGCGGAGGAAAGAGGGCCTTGTACGGTCGAACTGCCTGAGGCCAACTCTCCCCCTGTCAATTTCTACTGCCAAAGCGCAGGGAAACATCAGCTAGAAGTGCTCTCACCTATTCAAGAAGCACAGAACTCCTGTTCCACAAACCCGTATACTTCACTGGCCACTAGGTAGCTGATTCTCTTCCCCCAAGCAACGGCTGGCTAAATTTACTGAGAGAAAAGCCCATCAATGCTCGATATTACTCTGAAGCAGGCCTACTTATGCCAGACCATAAGACATTAGGTTGACCGTTTGCAGACCATACCAACACAGAAGAGTCTGCCCCTCTCAAGTACAGCCATTTGAATATCCAAGCATCATCACCTCGACCGCATGCAACACATGAAATTGTGGATTGAACCTGCAGAAAGAAATTCCTAGCCATCTTAGCCCATCTTGCTATTTTGAACGGAGTCCAGGGCCGTCCTCCCATGCCATCGGCACTCCTGAGCAAGTCTAATGGAGAACCATTCTTTCTGGCTGTTCTTGAGCTACGCATATCCCCGTTTCCAGCAAACCTTCCTTCAAGTAATTGCTGCTTTTCCGATTGGAGAAACTTAGGTTGACGCTCGTAAGGTCAAATTTGGGATGAGAACGCCGTCTTCGTGCCTCGAGTCTTTTCCTTCCAAAAAGCCGATGGTCAGGTCTTTCCACCAATCTCGACTAATCGTGATATTAATTCTCTACGTTGCAAATAAAGCACTTGAGACGGATCCTGGTCACTTTATACGACCAGTCACTCAGAAAGTTTGAATACAGTAAGCTCCTATCAATGAGAACCACATTTCGGATACACGTGTACACTGGCAAGCGAGCTGCTGGATATTATCATGATGGTCGACCTGGTAATAAATCAGCGGATGAAAACTGTCTGTATACTCAGATCAACTGCACTTATTGACCCTTGTCGTCCCCACAGAAGCAAGCCGTGAGCTGAGCGAATCGTCGGATAGAATCAATGAGTGCGAGAAGAGGATGATGAAATCTCCACATTCACGGACTGAATGAAGACTTCTTGATCGGCAGTCCCACAAGTAGATCCGTATGTTTCTACAGGGACGTTGACTCCGCTGCTCAGCCGAAGCGGAAGATAGCCGGGATTACCGTTTCATCCACGGAGTTTCCGGCGAATGAGTGGATTATCATTGGCAAACGACCATGTCCGAAGATGAAGGATTATCCACACCTTGAGATGGCTTAGTATCTACCAGAATATGATTCGCCTCGAGGACCGTGGAGTCGTGTAGCGGCGCAGTGTGCACCACGCCTAGCCTTGAAAACGTCTGTGCATATGGCTGATCACATCACGCTGCGCGAGGAATGGATGAGGACGCTCGATTTGAACACCCAGCACAATGAGCGGGTTGTTATTCCTACTTGTGGCGCGTTTGGGAAAAAGACCTGGAGTAATCCTCAGCGCGAAGCGGAGGTTTTCCGAAAACAGTCATGCAGAGTATAGAGATTTGCGAGTCAATTGAGAACGCATAGGGTAACAGGAGAAGCACACTCGATGCTCAATTGGTCTGTATCCGTGTGCCTCATTACAGCGGTGCTCTTCGGGTATCATTTGATGTCATTTTCTTAGACCTGCGCTGAGTCTGCGGCCCGCATTTGACGCAACCTGCGCATTTCTCTACTTTGTCCAGGTGGTTCCAGCTAGGTCCTGCCTCGGCCACATGCGTTGTCTTGCTGAGACGGCTGGAACCTTCGCAGGTTCGCTAGGGCTCGACGCTCTATACCAGCAATGTCATCGCCAGGCACGCTTGATCGATCACCTGCTGTGAGAATAATGGCTGTACGATGATTGGATCCTTCGGCGAATGGATGCAGATCACTAAACAGACTGTCACGGCAGCAGTATCAGCTTGCAGATAACTGGCTGGACGTTAATTAAGCTACTCTATTTTCCACCAGTGCGCAGATCCTGCCGTTGTGGACATGCAGGCTAAATGAGGTATTCGTCACCCACTGACGACTCTCTGTCTTGGCACAGCGGAGTATCTCTCCAGGATACTCCTGCTGCTCTGAAGAATGAGTAGATCCCTGTATAGGCTTTTCTTGGCATTGGGAGAAGCAACGGGTACCCATTAGATAGTCCGAGGGCTTGTCATTACTCGGACGATGCTACTGCAAGCAGCCTAGCACATGGGGTGTCGAGCCGGGGTTGCGATAGCGGCCACCAGGAAGACGGCAATGTCCTCTGTCTCGTCTTGATGAGAAGTGCGAGAATAGCACTGCGATATGGCATCTGCTCGTCTATATAAAGAGGTCACAGTCTGCCCGTGGTCCACGATTCTTCACTGACAGACCATCCTCCAGATACTTTGCTAGTCATATCCTCACCCAAACCCCAAAATGCAGCTCAAGCAAGTTCTTTCTCTTTCTCTACTCGGAGCTTCCCTGGTGTCCGCTCATCCCGGCCACGAGGAGAAGCGGGCGTCGAACCAGCTGCTGGCGTTCAAGGCGCACGTCCGTCGCGGTCTTTCGCAGTGCGCTCGCTCTTTCGATGAGAGTGGTCTCACTGCGCGCGCCATTGCTCGCCGTGCGCAGCTCGCCAGCGAGTACCGGCGCCGTAAGCTAGCAGTTCGTGACACCGACGACGTGCTGAACACCTCTCACCTGTCCTCGGCCGACTACACGGCGTCGACGGATGAGACGGAGATCTTCAGCAGCACCGGCACCTGCGTCCTCAACCCCGAGGGTGAGACGGGCCCCTTCTGGGTCAGTGGCGAGCTGATCCGCTCGGACATCATCGAGGACCAGGCCGGTGTCCCCGTTCTGCTGGATATCCAGTTCGTGGATGTCAGCACCTGCCAGGCCGTCGAGGGCCTGTACATTGACACCTGGAGCTGCAACGCAACCGGCGTGTACTCTGGCGTGAGCGGCAACGGCAATGGCAACAGCGCGGACACCTCCATCCTTCAGGAGACTTTCCTGCGTGGCATCGCCAAGACCGATTCGGACGGTGTGGTGTCTTTCAACACTCTCTTCCCCGGCCACTACTCGGGCAGAACGACTCACCACCACATCATCGCCCATCGGAATGCCACCTTGCTTTCCAACAACACCCTGACCGGCGGCACAGTCCCCCACATCGGCCAGCTCTTCTGGGATCAGTCCCTCATCGACGAGGTGGAAGCTACCTCCCCCTACAGCACCAACACCGTCGCGCAGACCACCAACGCCGAGGACCGTGTCTTCTCGGACGAAACGTCTGGCACCACTTCGGATCCGGTTTTCAACTACGTTCTCCTCGGGGACAGTCTGGAGGATGGATTGCTTGGCTGGGTCACCGTGGCGGTTGATCTGACGGCAACCTACACGCCTAACTACAGCTTCGTTTACACCTCCAGCGGCAGTGAGGCTGTGTCTGGTAGTTCAGGTAGCAGTGGTAGTGGTGCTGGCAGCGGCCCCTCTGGTGGCATGGGTGGTGGACCTGGAGGATTCTAAGCGTTCTGATCTGATATAACCTAAGGGAGTACTGCTCTCTTAACAGATGCGAATTTTCGTTGTTGAGTTTGTGTTTTGACAGTTGAGAAAATGTCACTCTTTTGGCGCTAGTTTCCCTCTCTGCGGCTGAAGTCATTGTTAACTGCGTTTATGTACAGAAGTATGTGAAATACAATCACTTTCTAAAAGCGCAAGTATCTGATACTGAAAACTATCAAGATTGAGACATATTATGAGTGTTGCTAGTTGCTACCATCGGCTATAACCGCGTCGGGAAAAGGTTTGCTCTCGGCCGAGGTCAACCAGGTCAAACTCCCAACTTCAGCCATGAATCATTTAACATCATCAATATAGGCAACTACTCTCATCAACAAAATGGAACCTCGTCCCAAACCGACACCAAGTAAAAGCTTCCTCAAATATCACACCGGCTGGCGTCGCGTGGTTAGCCATTTCAGCCCATCGTGAGTCTGATGGCACCAGCATCGCAACCCATCACTGACAGGCAACAGATGGTTCTCCACAACAATGGGCACCGGCATCGTCGCCATTTTATTCTACATCATCCCATTCGGACACAGATACCTGCACTATGTATCCATCGTCTTCTTCATCCTCAACCTCGTTCTCTTCGTGGTAGTGCTCGGCATGTCCATCCTCCGGTACACGCTGTACCCCGAGATCTGGGCCGTGATGATCCAGGACCCGACGAACTCGCTCTTCCTCGCGACCTGTCCGATGGGTTTCGCGACGCTGATCGAGATGTGGGTGTTCATCTGCGTGCCGGCCTGGGGGGACTGGACGAGGGCGGTGGCATGGGTGTTGTGGATTGTCGATGCGGTGGCGGCTGCGTCGGTGACAGTGTCGTTGTCTTTTATTCTGTATTTCCAGCCACTGATCATCCCACGAAAAAAAATTCTGACGATGATAGGATCTCGCAAACGTATATTACCTCGCTGGAACGCATCACCGCGCTGCAACTTCTCCCCATCGCGGCGACGATCGTGGCTGCGGGGACCGGGGCGGAGGTTGCTGGGATCTTGCCAGATCCTCAGCATGCCATGGGCACAGTGCTCGTCTCCTATATCCTCTGGGGGATGGGGACGCCTCTCGCGATGACTATTTTGGTCATATACTACCAGCGTCTGGCGGTGCATAAACTCCCGTCCCGGGAGACGATTGTCAGTAGTTTCTTGCCGCTGGGGCCGCTGGGATTTGGGGGATTCGGGTAAGCACTTCTTCCCCTGTTTCTAACTTGATCTGACGAGATAGAATCCTGTATCTGGGGAAGGTTCTGCGCAAACTCGTCGAGACTCACAATGTTATCGACCCGATGGCGGGATCGGTCGCGTACACCATGGGAGTCTTCATCTCACTGCTCATGTGGAGTTTCGGGCTGATATGGCTTGTCTTTGCCCTTGCGACAATCTACCACACGTCCCCATTTCCGTTCAATATGGGCTGGTGGGGATTCACCTTCCCGCTGGGCGTGTATGCGGCGAACACCATCCTGCTGGGTGAGCAGCTGGATTTGATGTTTTTTAAGGTCTTTGGGACGGTAAGCATACATCGCCGTCAGAAAAAGACAATGACTGAATTAGACAGATACTCAGTGTGGCCGTCATCCTCCTGTGGCTGGTGGTAGCCGCCCGAACAGTACACGGCGCATGGCATGGGAGTCTCTTCTACGCACCCTGTCTGCAGAATCTCAAGAACAAAGAGGATCCAGCCGAAGCATCTATTCGCCAGGCATGATATAAGCGCATAGATAGTCCATAGTTATCATGATATAGACTCGCCAATTTTACTCTGATTAGGCAATCCGGTAACCTCTTTCGTCCAAAGGATGCGCCAAGCACGACACAGCCAATCCAACCCTGGTCGATACAGAAGCAATCACCAGTAGTGCTGACGAGGAAACTCCAGCCGACCCGGCGTCTCGTATCTGCGACTGCGATATCACATGGATCGCGTGCGGCTGAAGACGGGCGTATTTCATTTTCTGCCCCTCCCAGACTCACCATCATGTCACATCCTCTCAAGGCATCATGGTACGTCCCCTTCACCATACACTATACATGATATTAAGCTACGTGAACAGGAAACCGAAAACGAATTCCCCTTCCTCCAGGAGGTATATACCCCTCCATCACAACCAAAGATCGAGTACGAATCCTCCTTATCCTACGCATGAAAAAGAAGCTGACATACAGTCTAGTTTCGTGTTCGTCCACGGCCTCAACCCCCGAGGCAGAAACGACCACCCCTACGAAACATGGCGCCATCAGAACGGCACCTTCTGGCCGAGGGATTACCTGCCGCAGGATATCCCGCACGCGCGGGTGTTCGTGTACGGATACAACTCAAACGTGACGAACCCGCAGACCATGTCGACGGCGGGTGTGAAGGATCATGCGAACACGCTGTTGAATTTGCTCGATCTGGAGAGGAGTCCGCAGCTGGTATGTTTTGCTTCGTTTGACGCGGTGCGGAGGCTGACGATGGTAGAATACGCGGCCGCCGAAGATTGTGTTCATCGGGCACAGTTTGGGGGGGTTGGTGATTAAGCAGGTAGGCCACATGGCCGGAACTTGACGTGACGGGAGTGAGGTTGATATGGACAGGCCCTGCTCAATGCGCATGAAGATCCCAAGTATACGGCTATCCGGCTGGCGACCTGCGGACTCGTCTTCTTTGGGACTCCCCATCGCGGCGCCAAGGGGGTCGAAGTCGGCAAGATCGCTGCCAAGGTCGCTCGCTTCGTGTCGAAAGGACATGCGAGCAATGAGCTGCTGGATTGTCTCGAGTACAATTCCCTCTTCACACGGCAGATGTCCAGCCGTTTCAGCCACCAGCTGGAGGATTATCGGGTCGTGAGTTTCGTGGAGGGCAAGGAGGTGTTGCTTGGAGGCGCTGGACCGGCGTCTGTCAGCCATGTAGGCCTCCTCGTCCGGGTGGTGAATAAACACTAAGAAAAGGCAGTTGGTTGTTGACGAAGAGTCGGCCGTGCTGGGCCTGCCTGGCAATCGAGAAACCCGACTCAAACTCGACGCAGACCACTCGCAGATGTGCAAAGTCGGGTCGCGCGGCCCCATGTACAAACTCATCAAGGGCAACATCAAGCAGATCGTCGACCAGGTCCTCGTCGCAGAACAAGGATACATCCCGCAACCGTCGACGTCGCCCCATCCGGGCCCTCCGTTACCTCCGCGCATGCACACCAACAGCAGCTCGCCCTACCCCAACGCTGCCCCTCAGACGAACACCCCGCGCGTCGTGGGGACAATGTATGCCGCTGTCGACAGCGACCCGCGGTCCATCCAGGCCGCGGAGCACAAGAACGCTGGGCGCTGGGATCAAGCCCGGAACCTCGAGTACGCCATCTTCCAGGAACACCTGCGGACGCTGGGCCCGGACCACAACAGCACGATCGTGGCGGGCTACCATCTCGCCGAGATCGACCTGGAGGCCTCGTACCTCGCCAAAGCCACAGAATGGTGCAAGTGGGTGTCCGACCAGAGCCAGCGGACGCTGGGCCCACGACACCCGCTGACCCTGCGAGCCGAGAGCCTGATGGGCGAAATCCTCTGCGCACGAGGACGATACCAGGAATCCGAATCGGTGTGCGCCAACGTCCTCGCGCGCCAGCAGATGAGCATCGGCGACGACGACCTCGACACGCTGGAAACGCGCCGCCGCCTCAGCATGGCGTACAGCAATCTCGGCCAGGAGCAGAACGCCATGAGCATCGCCGAGAAACGCCACGAGGCCCTGCAGCGCATTCTCGGCCCGCAGCATATCCGCGTGCTGTCGTCCGCGCTCGACACCATCGAGGTGCTGATCACCGCGCGCACGTCCAACGGCGACAAGATCCTCGAGATGCGCTTCAGCGGGGAGATCGCGCAGACCACGTCGCAGACGGGCCAGATCGCGCGCGAGCTGAACGACCTGCTCGGGCCCCGCCATCCGCTGTCCATCCGCGCGCTGCGCCTGCAGGGGATCCTGGAGATGCTCGCGCAGAATTCCACCGTGGCGTCGGAGACGCTGCGGCGGGCGCTCGCCACGGCGGAGGAAACGCTGGGGCCGGACCACACCGAGTCGATGGCCCTGGTCGCCACCATCGGGATCATGTACACGCTGCACAGCGACAGGGGTAACTACATCGCGTTCGTGATGCCCGGCAGCAGCAACAACAAGCTGGAGATGGCGGCGCCGTGGCTGACGCGGTACCTGTCGTGGGCGGAGACGCGCAAGGGCAAGGACAGCGGCGACGTGCAGTCGATGCTGGACATGCTGGCGAACCTGCACTTCGCCCGGCAGCAGTATGCCGAGGCGCACAAGTACTACGACCGGCTGGTGGAGTCGTACCAGGCGGCGGGGATGCCTGTTCCGCAGCTGGTGGCCACGAATCTGCAGACGTGCCGCATGCATACCATGCTGCTTACGCAGTACTCACCCCGGGGGACGGGGTCGGCTATCGAGGGGATACTGAACTCGTTTGTGAAGAAGCGTTTCTAGCAGTTTCTTGCATCATTACATATCACCTCTATCTATGTCCATAACTATTCATGAATCAATTAGAGAACTTCTCGGGAACCTTGCGCCTGCTCATCATTAGCCACTGTAATCTACGGAGTACACAGACAGAACGACATACCCGGTAGCCTTCTCGAACTGCTCCCTCGCACCATCAGTGATCTTCTCATTCGTCGACCGCATCTTCGCGGAATCGATCTTCCCGCCGCCGAAGCGCTGTTCAACCGAGTCGAGACCTGGTACAGTTAGCACACGTCCCCCTCTGAATTCCATGACAAATGAATATCGTACCCTTATCGAGGTAATCCTCCTGCTGGCCCTGAGGCTGTGCCTGAGTCTGGTTTCCGGATGCGGAGTGGCTTCCGCCAAGCTTGGAGGCGAGACCGGAGAGTTTGTCCATTTTTTGCACTGCAGTTTATCTTTTTGATGTCTAAGATGGAAATGGAGATGTGAGGAGAAGAGAAGAGATCAGGGCGAGGTGTTACTTATATAGCTCTCTCAGTCCAGAATGGTTGGCGTCATTGTGGATTGCTTCTCTGGGTGATCTGATTGGATAGACGGGAAAGCGGGGTAGATTGAGTTTAGATAGATGATTTGGGGGGGAGATCTGGGCTTTTGATTGGCTATTTGGAAATGGTTACATCACTTGTGATGTCATTGGTGGTGCTATGCCATTAACAAATTATGTACTCCGTATAAATAGATACAATAATAGCAGTGGAACTTGTCGCTATAGCGTAGCAGCCAGGACCGTGTTGCACAAGGCTATACTAATCACGATTCTTGCCTATCCATATCCTCATCCTCTTCCCGCAAACATGAAACACCCCGGCCACTGCATACACAACCGCATTCAAGCTCGCAATCACCATAAACACAGTCAACAGGCCACTCCTCGCGATCCAGTCGTTGATGCACCACGTCCAGACCCACGCCACAGCCGACTTGAGACACGAGATGGTCACCATGAGTTCTGCGGAGAGCTACCCTGCATTAGTATACGTAACCGGAAAAGAAACGTAGGCATACCTCTTTGTGACAGTCTAATGCATAGGTCATCCCCAGCGTGGCGCCCATCTGCGCCCCTGACGAGAGAACCCCAAAGCCGACGACTGGCCCGGCCCAGTGCGTGCGCGGGTACGTCAGCCCGGAGACCAGCGCTCCGAGAAAGGTGAGGACGGCCGCGATGGCGCAGGCCGAGAGCCGCATTTCGGGCTCGCGGATGCCGTCGTTGCGGATGGTGAAGTATGTGGCGATGCGGTCGGCGATGGGGCCGCAGAGGTAGGTTCCTACCAGGGAGCCGAGGAGAGGGGAGAGGAAGATGAGGCCTTGGGCGCCGGAGGAGAAGTGGTAGGGTCTGTGCTGTTAGCTTCTGTTTGACGAGGGGAGGTG